GTGACCTAACCCTAACCCTAAGTGGAATTTTCCTCCAATGGGGTTTTCCCATGTATTTTACCAGGAAACATAGATAGGGCAGCCTAGAAAGGTCAGTGCCCTCCTAACCATCCCCAAGCACTCCCGATTTGTTGGCAATGTCCATTTTCCTCTCTGAGTTCATGGTGACCTAACCCTAACCCTAAGTGGAATTTTCCTCCAATGGGATTTTCCCATGTATTTTACCAGGAAACATAGATAGGTCAGCCTAGAAAAGTCAGTGCCCTCCTAACCATATCCAAGCACTCCCAATTTGTTGGCGAGGTCCATTTTGCTCTATGTGTTCATGGTGACCTAACCCTAACCTTAAGTGGAATTTTCCTCCAATGGCGTTTTCCCATGTATTTTACCAGGAAACATAGATAGGTCAGCCTAGAAAAGTCAGTGCCTTCCTAAGCATATCCAAGCACTCCCAATTTGTTGGCGAGGTCCATTTTGCTCTATGTCAGTGGTTCTCAACCTGTGGCGAGGTCCATTTTGCTCTATGTGTTCATGGTGATCTAACCCTAATCCTAAGTCAGTGGTTCTTAACCTTTCTAATGCCGCGACCCCATAATATAGTTCCCCATGTTGTGGTGACCCCCAACCACTTATACATCACCGGGTGCCAGGGGCATGGCCAAAGAAAAGGGGGAAAAAAATGGCGGACAGCCTTGTTTGGCGACCGCCATGAAATGGTCGTTCGACCCCAAATGGGGTCCCGACCCACAGGTTGAGAACCACTGACATAGAGCAAAATGGACCTCGCCACAGGTTGAGAACCACTGACATAGAGCAAAATGGACCTCGCCAACAAATTGGGAGTGCTTGGATATGGTTAGGAGGGCACTGACTTTTCTAGGCTGACCTGTCTATGTTTCCTGGTAAAATACATGGGAAAACGCCATTGGAGGAAAATTCCACTTAGGGTTAGGGTTAAGTCACCATGAACACATAGAGCAAAATGGACCTCGCCAACAAATTGGGAGTGCTTGGATATGGTTAGGAGGGCACTGACTTTTCTAGACTGCCCTATCTATGTTTCCTGGTAAAATACATGGGAAAATGCCATTGGAGGAAAATTCCACTGATAGAGGTATGGGTAGATGGAATAGGTAAGAAAAGAGATGGATAGATTAGATAGATGGAGTAGATGATTTTCGTGCCTATGGTGTGACTAGAACTCACCGTCTCCTGCTGATTGGTCCAAAGTCACCCAGCCGGCTTTCATGCCTAAGGCGGGATTAGAACTCACCGTCTCCTGCTGATTGGTCCAAAGTCACCCAGCTGGCTTTCATGCCTAAGGCAGGACTAGAACTCACCATCTCCTGGTGATTGGCTCAAACTCACCCAGTTGGGTTTTATGCCTAAAGTGAGATTAGATCTCGTGGCTTCTAGCCCAATATGCCTTAACCACTAGACCAAACTTTACGAACAGTCCTCATATTCACAAATTTTGCAGCTCCGTCCAGCAAAAAGAACTTGGAAGTCAAATCATAAGCACAGTTGTGGTTTCACTTTAGCCACTTGCTTCGCTCGACAACCAAGTTGCCAGTCCCAATTGTGGCTGCTAATTGAAGACTCCCCGTATAAACTAAATACGGCAAATAAACAAAAACAAACCAGCCACCCACCTAGCCGTAAGATAAACAAACGCAGTATGAGGTCAGCCACGCGTGAGAGCCGTTGGCACACATCCACGGCAGCTTCACAGCAACACTACGGGTAAATAACACATTTCCCAAAGATTGATTTTAGAGCCGGTGGATGCTTTCACAAAAGATACAGAGATGATCTGATGCTGCCTATTTTGGTCCCACACGTCTCTCTAACTGCAGTTTAGTGAAGAAGTCTAGTTGTTGGTGTTTTCACACATGGCAGGTTGCATCGTAACTTGGGAGGTGTTGGTGTGCATTGCCTGAATGAAAAAAACAAAAAACCCTGCAGACAACGAGTTGGGGTGGAGCAGACTGCTGCCCTCCAGGCCGAGGTGGGACAAAACAGTTCCCGGAAGCCACAGCTACAACTTTGGCATTTAGAAGAGCACCAACTTTAACGGGAAGAGGTGGTGAGAAAACCATGAGAACGGTATGGAGATTCTCAATCACCCAAGTTACGTTGGGTTTTTTGTTTTGAAAAAACAACTGGGCTTCCTAAGAGGGTTTTTTCCTCTTTGAAAACGTCGTTTTTTTTTCCTTTGAAAACATTTCGCTTCTCATCCAAGAAGAAGTTAGAACCGAAGAAGCTTCTTGGATGAGAAGCAAACTGTTGTAAAAGGCGAAAAAAAAAGTCTAGCTGCCTTTTGAAAAAAATTATATCCCATCTTTGGGACACAAAAGCACCAGGAAGGGTCCAGCCACATCTCCTTTTGCAATGGAGACCATTGGGATTAGTTGACGGTGGGCACCAGCCTGCCCAGGTGGGTTGCTTGGTGCTTCTCTCTGGTGGAGGAGGAGAAGAGGAGAAGAGGAAGAGGGGGAGGAGAAAAGGAGGAGAAGAAAAGGAAAGAAAAAGAAAGACAAAAGAGAGAGGGAAGGAAGGAAAAGACAGAAAAGAAGTGAAAGAAGAGGGGGGAAAAAAGAAAGAAAGAGAAAGAAAGAAAAAGAAAGAAAGAAAGAAAAAGGAAGAAAGAAAGAAAGAAAGAAAGAAAGAAAGAAAGAAAGAAAGAAAGAAAGAAAGAAAGAAAAAGAGGAAGAAAAAACTACTGCAGAACAAAGTCTGGACTTTAGCATCATCCTGGGAAGATGCGAAGAGCATTTGGCAGGGCGGTGGGGGGGGGATGTCAGAGGCCCCTCACCCATTTTGCCAGGACCCCCTTCCCCTCCTCTCCCCCTCCCAGCAGAGGGGCCTTTGCCCCTTCCCCATCTCCCCCCCCCTCCCGCTCCCCTTTCCTTAAAAGACGGGGCAAAAAGGCGTCCGCAAGGCCGGCTCAGGGACTATTTCTTCCTCGGAGGACCCCCTTCGCTTCTCGCGGGCAGGTTGGGCGGAGGGATCTTCTTCCGCACGGGGGCTGAAGCCTTGAAAAAGGGGAGGGGGGAGAGAGAGAGCGCGAGCGAGTGTGAGAGCTCCGCGCCTGCGCAGTGCCGTCCTCGGCGGAGAGCGGCTCCCCACCCCTCCCTGCCGGGCGCGCGTGAGGGGCAGCGAAGCGGCGGCCGTTCCCGGAGCCCCCCCCACCCAAAACCCGGTCTCTCGGCCCAGGAGCAGCCCTTTCTGCCCCCCCCGCCCGCCCCCTCCCGCTTCTCAGACTCGGGGGGCGCAGAGGGCCGCCCCGTCGCCCCCCACCATGGCTCAAATCCTCCCCATAAGGTTCCAGGAGCATTTTCAGGTGAGATGGGGGGGGGCGGGTGGGGGAGGGGGTGAGAATGAGAAGCATAGGGATGGGGGGGCTTCCTCTGTTCTTTGCCTGAAAGCCCCCCTCCTTTGGGGGGGGATGAAAATAGGGGAAAGTTGGAGGGGGGCTGCGGCCTAGTAGGGGCAAGAGGGGGGGGTTGGAAAGACCCCTCTTTGGGGTCCCATGGGGGGGCTGATCCCCTCTTCTTGCAAAGGGGGGGTCAGTCTCTTGGGGGGGCGATGCAAAGGAGGGGGAAGCACCCCTCCTTGGTCTGGAGGAGAGGCATTGCTCCTTGGGAAGGGGGGGCTTTTTGGGGTCTCCCCCCCTCTGCGGCCCCTTTTTTTTGCATTGCTTCAAGAGGGGGGAGCAGAGAGGGACGGGGGTGGGAGGTGTAAATTCTTTTATAGCCATGCACCCCCCCTCTTTACCCATCTGCAAAGGGGGGGGGAAGAAGAGAAGGACTTGGGGACCCTTTTTTTTAAAAAAAAATTATGGCTTCTCCTGCTGCGGGGGGGGGCAAGCTGAGGGAGGGGGAGAAAGTCTGCTGCCGCCCTGAAGGTGAGGAGTTGATGGGGGGGGGAGAAATTCCTTTATAGTTTGGATTGCAGAGATTTGTGCAGAGTCACTGGATGACTGGATCCCTCCCTCCCCCTCCTCCTCCCCCCCCCTCTTTTTTGGGTGTGGAGGGGGGAGGAGAGCAGCTCTGGCCTGCATTACTACACCATCAAGAATGAAGGCGCGGTGGGGGGGAGTGTGATGTAGAAGAGACAGAAGCTGGGGTTCAGCCTGCTTGCCCCCATCAGTGTCCTCCTGGGTTTTTTGGGATCTGCAAAGTTGGGGGGGGGGGTGCAGCAGCTTTAGCTCCTGGACTTTCCATTTACCCCCCCTCCACCCCGAATCAGCAAGACCCGGCTACTGCCCAGCTCAGTTAATTCCCCCCCTTGGTGTCCCTCTTTTTTTCAGGGCATCGTCCCATGATGGGGCTTTAGCAGAGGAGGGGGCAGATTATAAAGACCCCCCCCCTTTCCCCTTAAGTGGGGAGGGTCTCCGTTATATTAAAGAGCTGGTGTGTCGAAAGAGGGCAGAAGAGCCCAGCCGGGCAGACCCAGGTTGAAAGAGGAAAGGGGTGGAAAAAAAAAAAAAACCAAAATAGAGTTTGTGGCAGGAGTTAAAAGAATTGGCTAAATGAACAAGGGAACCGGAAGTGGATTTCCCAATTATTTTCCGTCTGCCCCTCCCTTGGCCACTGAGTCCATCCATTTCCAATTCCCCCCCCCCCGTCCCCTGTTATTGTCTCATGTTTAGGACATTTTTTTCTGCTGGACCCTGGCGAGTTTTATTTCAGCAGGTTTAGGGGGTCCCGTAATGAGATGTAGCATCAGCAGATGGGGGGGGGGGCATCCAGGCACAGGGAGGGGGTCTGGGGATTGCTCTGGTTGAGAAGCAGCGTATTTTAAACCTTTCAAGGTGAAAAATGTAAGGTGTGATGCACGATTCCAAACTGTTTTTCCATCCTGAGTCTAAAACGTATTGATTTGGAGATAGGTCCTACCGGATTCACAAAACGTATTCGCCTTGCAGCCCTAATTCATTTTTATTTATTATTTGTCTTGCAAATGTCTACAGCGCCTAATTTACACACATGGGTGATTCTGGGTGCCGTACAAAATGTAAAGTTTTGCATTTTCAGCGGCTTGAAAGCATAAACCAACAATTCTAGGAATGTTGCCTTGTTCTGGGTTTCTTTCCAGTCTAAAATTCTTGTCGATTATGGAGCATATGATCTTTTGGGATGAAAGCACAAACCCAAAGTAGTTTTTTTTTTTTTTTTTAAAGAAACGCGACAAGTTTAATTTAGAGTTTATCCCATGTTTTCTTTTTTGGAATGTTTGGGTTCTGCGTCATTTACTCCGTCTCTGCTCCTAAACATTTCCGACTCTGCCAGTTCGTTTCTTTTTCCTAAAATCTGTTTGTGATTTGCCTCCTCCCTTGTTTCCACGATAACACAGGGAGGATGGATCCCAAATTTATCTGAATGGAGATTTGAGCTTGTTTCTCCTTACTCTTAATTTGTTAAGGATGTGCAGAATGATGTCCTTTAAGAGTGGTGATCTTGATCAATTTAGCTAGGGCAGCGGGGCATTTATGTACTGTATAAAATAATTGCCATGTTGTTGCCATATTATGGTTTTTTTTTTGGGGGGGGTGCCACGTTAACTACTGCTCTGTGATCACTGTTTTGCCCTGCCTGCAAAATATTTTCTGCAATCTCTTGCAATTTCTTTCCTGTTTTACCTCACGGTATAACAGTAGCCAAACTGTCAGTCAGTTACAGAGTCTGGATTAAAAAACAGCTTAGTATTCCTTGAGCAACTCAATATTCCAGAGCATCCCTTATTTTTTACAGAGGGAGAGCCAAAGTAATGAGTGCTCATTTATACTGATTTAAAATGATCACAAATAGTTCTGATTTAATTCGAGGGATGTGACCTGAACATAAATCAGAAAAAGCTCTGGGAGGAAGCCTAAATATGGAAAACTAAAATTCATGCTTCTAGTGAACAAGCTTGTCGATGTGAGAAATAATCACTGTTGTAACTGAATATTAAGGCCAATACTATATAGTAAGAACTCCTGGTTGGCTTGATGTTCCATAATGCAGTCTGGGCTTTTTTTTTTTTTTTGGCCTTTTTTTCTCTTCTTAGCAATTGACAGCTACTTACAAATAGATTACTAGGCGCAATTATTAAGCAGCCTCCACGAAACATCTTTAATATTAAGAGAGCAAAATGAATGTACATTTGGAAAGTCGGCCTCTAGTTTTTCTCCCCCCCCCCCCGTCAGATACTAGATAGTTCCGTTCTGCCCTTTACTGCATTCCTGTCCTGTACAAATCTTTTAGTGACTAATTCAGAAGTTCACAAACACAACACGTCCCTTCATTTGTCCTCTGTATGCTTTTTGGTAAATCATTGGGTATTTACAGAGCATTGAAGTCACTGGAGAAAGAATGAACTCCTGAAGACCTTCTGCAAGGCGTGCTTTCTGAATTCGGTACCTCCCTGGAACATCTGCATTTAAATCTCCCAGAATTCCCATCTAGCTTCCTCCCCCCCCCCCCGGTTTGGAATTCTAGGAGGTGACATCACATTTGGTGGAGACCCAGTTTGAAATTCCTGTCCATTAGAACTCAAGAGGCTTGTTTTTCTTCTTCTCCACCCTCCAAAAACGAGCTCAAGAGATGACTGGACAGAGGAAGCCTTTTGGACTAAACGGTTCTTGTTGCTGTTGTTTTTTTTTCTAGCTCCAAAATCTTGGAATTAACCCAGCCAACATCGGGTTCAGCACCCTGACGATGGAATCGGACAAATTCATCTGCATCCGAGAAAAAGTTGGGGAGCAAGCCCAGGTGGTGATTGTGGACTTGAGCGATCCGACGACGCCCATCCGGCGCCCCATCTCCGCGGAAAGCGCCATTATGAACCCTGCTTCCAAAGTCATCGCTCTGAAAGGTACGTCGGCCGACCGGTTCTCGCCCGAGATGGAACCGCGGGACAAGAGTAACACGAAAGGGAAACTTAGCCCTGTTCATTTTTGTATGGTTCATTTTTTAATAAAAAAAATTATTCACCGCGTTATTTCTTCGCCTCCTTTTGGGGAGTTTTGTACAGGCAGTTCTTGACTTATAATACAGTTGAGCCTCAGCCGTTCTCCTACTAAGCGAGACATTGGTTAAGTGCCGGTTGACCCGCTTTATGACCTTTCTTGCCACGGTTGTTAAGTAAATCGCTGCAGCTGTTAAGCTACTGACACGGTTGTTAAGTGAATCCGGCTTCCCCATTTTCTTTGCGGGTCAGGGGGTTGTAAAAGGAGATTGTAGGACCTCCCCGGGACACTGCCACCGTCATAAATACGAGCCAGTTGCCAAACGCCTGAATTTTGGTCATGTGACCGTGGGGATGCTGCAACGGTCGTAAGTGTGAAACATGATCATAAGTCAGTTTTTTCAGTGCCGTTGTCACTTTGGGCAGTCACTAAACGAACCGGATGTAAGCTGAGGACCATCTGTACAAACTCCCCCCCCCCAAAAAGGAGAAGAAAAATAAGAACAGAACAACAAAAGAAGACATGTTTTTTTTTAAAAAAAAGTGCATAGGAAAAAAAAAACATACGCATAAAAGGCTTTTTTTTAAAATGAAACTTAGCCTGTTAATTGTGGACAGTAAGTTGAGAGACTGGAAATGGCAGTTGTGGAATTGGTTTGTGAGGAAGGGATTGGGGGCAGCCTGCTCAAAATTCCCAAAGGGAATGATTCAAAATTAACCTGAAGGTTAGAAAAATGGATATTCCAGGCCCCCCGAGGATTTCAGAGGCTGCCATTTCCAAGTTTCCAGAAAGTTTTGCTCAGCCAAGAACCACTTCTGTGGGTTAGTTTGGTTCAGAATGACGAATTTAACATTTGGTTAATGAAAGCGTACTTGGTTTTTTTTTTTTTTTTTTTTAAAAAAAGCTTAGATTATGCATCCGTTCTAGCTATATAGCAAATCAAAGTGACATCTGTTGCTTCTGTGAGAGCTCAATTTTGGCTTGCACAGTAATCCGTAATCCAGATGCTACCTGATCCGCACTTTAAAAATGTCCCTCTGCAAGTAGGCACACAATCTCTTTTAGATATAAAATCATTTCACTGCCAACTGATTGTGTACTTTTCTTCCTGCATTCTTAATACAGACGGTGAGTTCATTTTACAATGGCAAACTTTTATGTTTTTAACAGTATGGAACGGTCTAATCTCATAAAAAGTACTGAAATCTGGAAGAGGGAAAAAAATAAGCAATTGGGCATCTCCGTGGCGGAATTAATTGGGAATCTAGATGCGACGGCTCGAATTTGCGGGGGGAAAATTTGTTACCTTCCTTTGGGATATATACCGCTTGCTGGTTATAACTGTACCAAGGAATGGGTCTGTGCACATCCATCCCATCGTCGTACAGTTAATGAATAGCAAGGAATTGAGTCACAAATATTTTTATGAGAGACCTTTGCTAGCATGGTGTCTTGTGTGCTAGTCATCTACTTGATTCTAAATGTGGTTTTGGGTCCCAGGGATTCGGGGCAAAACTCGCAGAGGTCCACGATTTTATAGATAATCAATTATATTGGAAATTTATCAGCCTGAGCTATGTAATAGGTGTGGGCAACTGTTAATTTGCGAGCTTGCTAAAAATTGCCTAGGGTTATAAATGAATACGCAGCAAAGGGAAATAGCCCTACTAAAAACAGTAATCAAAGATTCAGCATTCATAATGCTTCAATTCCAATTATCGTGGCCCTCTGCGAATCGGTCCATTGACCAGGAAAGCTAATACTTATTGAAGACCCAGAGGTCTTCAAACTTGGCCCTTTTATGACTTGTGGACTTCAACTCCCAGAATTGCTCAGTCCACAAGTCATACAAGGACCAAGTTTGAAGACCACTGAACTAACATGTTAGTTTGTAGGTACACAGAAGTAACTAAGTGGAGAAATATACGATCACTCAAAGCCGGAGTCTCCAACCTTGGCAACTTTGAAGATTTTTGGACTTCAGCTCCCAGAATTCCCCAGCCAGCATGGGTTTTTAGACTGACTGAGGAATTCTGGAAGTCCACAAGGCTTAAAATTGCCAAGTTTGGAGACCCCCTTGACTTAGAGTACCATCAGATTTATCAGGGTGTTTGTTTTGTTTTGTTTTGTTTTGCCTCTTTTCTTAAATAGGGGAAACCCTGGGAAATAGGTATGGTAGATTCTTTCCCTCGGTAGCTGCAGAATTGTAGTCTGTCCCAAACCATTAAAGGCTGAAAGACCCACGGATCAAGGTCTGTTCTAATGAACTGCAGATGTTCTGGGCCGATAGAGACGGTGGTGAACCCACATCGTATGTTTTGCTTGAAGCTTGTTTTTCCATGGCACAAGCAACGAACGTAATAACGCCAGCCTTTCAGAAATGTAACGTCTTCTCTGAATGGTGGTTAAGAGTGTGGTTGTGTGCCTACCGATTGCATTCCCGGACTGCATGTGGCATTTCCCAGTGATTGGCGCATTCTTGTCCTCGTATTCATGTCACCTACGTTGTGCCGTGACCCCAACAGCACTTTCTGTTTGCACCAGCACTTTCTGTTTGCACCGTCTCATAAAAGGCGCCTCCGTGTTAAACAAAACAGGGAAATGCAGCACCTCATTTCCATACACTCGCATGGGAATGCAGAAACCACACTTTTTGTGCTCTTTGTCGCACAGATGTAAAGCTTTTCTTGCCCCCCACTTCCTTGGATGTGACCCACCTATTCAGGCTGGTCTATGTTTGTGTCGGTGTTTCGTTTTTGTTTTTTTTTAAGTTCACCTGAATAGAGAACAGATGCCTGCCTCCCCGAGATAAGCAATGTCATTCAATTGTGGTACTTTGCAGCTTTAGATTAATCCTTGTTAGAGGCTAGATTCTATTGTGGTTAAGTTTGATACAATGGCCACTTGCAGCACAATCAGCTGGAAGGCACCTGGCCGAAAGGCTGGATGAAATTGTCTCGCTTTGCTGATCCTTAAATTCTGTGGGCCCACTCTGGTCCTTAACGTAATCAAATCTTAGGGCTCCCTTGCTGGTGGGGAACCTCTCTGTTGCTACCCCAAAAGTTGAACAGGTGACTGGTACACATACAGTCACTTTTTTTTCAATGTAATTTGGCCTCTGCCTGCTGTTTATTCCCCAGTACCAATATCCATCCATCCATCCATCTCTCTCTCTCTCTCTCTCTCTCTCTCTCCTCTATCTATCTATCTATCTATCTATCTATCTATCTATCTATCTATCTATCTATCTCTATCTCTATCTGTATCTACCTACCTCTATCTATCTATCTATCTATCTATCTATCTATCTATCTATCTATCTATCTATCTATCTATCTATCTATCTATCTAACCAACTATCTAACTATCTCTATCTCTAATTTTATCTATTATCCATCCCTCTCTATCCCCATCCATCCATCTAATTTATATAGCTGCCCAATTCATTTTGTGTTTTTTGTGGAGCAAAAATATTTAAAAAGCAAAGGTTAAAAAGGGTGTGAAGGTTCCCCCCCCCCAATTGATCATCGGGGTGGAGGTTTCCACTTAAAATCTTTTCTCCTCAATAAAGCCTTCTAAGCTTCTTGGACTTGCAGCTTCTCCTGTTATTTTTCTCTTAAGAAAGCCCAGTTAATTTTACAAGAGGCCATTTTTCCATCTGGGTCTGGTTTACTCGCTGCCTCTTGTAAATAACCCAGTGCAGAAGTGGATGGGGATTTGAAATTCACTCGTAACTGCTTCGTTTATGGGTTAAGGCCTTGGGGAATAGCTTTTCACCAGACCTTTATTTTTTTGGGGAGCCTTTATGCTTCTTTCTCCGGCTGTCCCAGTCCTTCCATTGCTTTGCAGTCATAACTGAGAGAAAACCAACAGAGGCAGAGAGCTTATAGATTGGAGGAATTATTTCATTTGGCTCCCTTTTTCTTACGGAAGTGACACATTTTCCCGCAAAGCTGTTTCCCTTAGAAGTGGTCGTGCAACACCGGCCACAAGACTGAATCAAAACACCATTCGTGAACTTCGTTCTTGCAGTATGCAGACAAAATAGGGTATTTTATAACCTGATGGCTAATTTAAACACTTTTGAGATGATTTATGGATGTTGCTTAATAAGTGCATTCCATTTGGGGTAGGGTGGGTGGGGTTACAGCTAGAGAGAAATGGAAGAAAACCCGAGGTGCAAAGAGGCATTTTAACATTATTGGAAGAAATCTATTTTAAGCTACTGATACATTACCAAAACATTTCCCCCCCCCCTCCTTAGTGTTCGTTCCTCATAAGGCTTTGCAAAAAAAAAGGGCAGAGTTGGTTACTTAAAGAGGCCAATTGTCTGTAGATTATAGAATTATAGGATAACAGAGTTGGATGGGACCTTGGAGGTCTTCTAGTCCATCCCCCTGCTCAAGCAGGAGAACCTATAGCTTTCTGGACAAATGGCTGACCAATCTCTTCTTAAAAACCTCCAATGATGGAGCACCTACAGCTTGTGGAGGCAAGTCGTTCCGCTGATTGAGTGATTGATTGATCCCACTGTCAGGAAATTTCTCCTTCATTCTAAATTGGATTTCTCCTTGATAATCTTTCCTCTGTTACTTCTTGTCCTGTCTGTTTGGAGAATAGGTTACCCTCCACCCCCCTTCCCCTTGACCGCCCTTCAAATATTAGATTGGATATTGGAAATACTGGATGATTGTTTGTATATCCCTCTTCACCAGCTATCCTTTTTGAGCTCTGAATATGTCTGCTTAAGGATCAATAGTTAAGCCTTCGGCTCCATACGCAGCGAGGTGAAAGCACTGAAGTAGATGATCCTGGGGTTGAAGTGTTTTCCCATTAGATAAGAGCGGGTCATCCAAATTCATGCTTTGAATCCTGAGTGCTGCGCATTGCGTAGCTCGAGATGGTAAGATGAACGGATCCCTTTCAGCCTGTCCTGAGACAGCTTTCAACCTTGTTTTAAGCCGCTGTCTGAAGTGAGTGACTTCCTTTTTCTTAGTATGTCACTTTTCCTGCATCTGTTGCCAAGGAGCAGTCTTAACCCTCTTGAGAAGGGAGCGCTCTTTAGATGGTCCAAAGAGGGCAGAGAGGAGAATTAAATCTGGGTGGAATGTTTGGGAGATCCGTGATTCTTTTTATTTTATTTTATTTTGTCTTCCGGTCTTGTCGCCCACCAGCGGGGAAAACCCTCCAGATCTTTAACATAGAGATGAAGAGTAAAATGAAAGCGCACACGATGGCCGAAGAAGTGATTTTCTGGAAGTGGATCTCGGTGAACACGGTGGCTTTAGTGACCGAGACGGCAGTCTATCACTGGAGCATGGAAGGCGATTCTTTGCCGCAAAAAATGTTTGACCGGCACGCCAGTCTTGCGGGCTGCCAAATCATCAACTACAGGACGGATGAGAATCAAAAGTGGTTACTCTTAATCGGCATCTCGGCTCAGGTAGGCACACCTCTGGGAGTTTGTTTTATTTACCCAATTTTTATCCCACCTGCCTTACTTTATAAGTAACTTGGGGAGAGGGTGAACATACACGATAAGCCTTCCTCCTCCTATGTTCTTCAGAAAAACAACCCTGTGAGGTGGGTTGGGTTGAGAGAGAGAGAGAGAGAGAGAGAATGAGAGAAGAGAATCAGAGAGAATGAGAGAGAGAATGAGAGAGAGACTCAGAGACAATCAGACAGAGAGAGAGAATGAGACCAAGAGAAAGAGAGAGAGAGAGAGAGAGAATCAGAGATACAGAGAAAGAGGGGGGGGGGACTGGCCCAAAGTCACCCTGTTAGTTTTCATGCATAAGGCAGGACTAGAATTCACCATCTCCGGGTGATTGACTCAAAATCACCCAGCTGGCTTTCATGCCTAAGGTGGGACTAGAATTCACTCTCTCCTGGTGATTGTCCCAAAGTCATCTAGCCACCTTCCATGGCTAAGGTGGAACTAGAACTTGCCGTCTCCTGGTGATTGGCCCAGCGTCACTAAAGTGTCACTAGAATTCACAGTCACCTGGATAGTTTTCACGCCTAAGGCCAATACCAGGACTTAGTCACCCGGTTAAGATGCCTTAACCACTCGCCGATTGCTTTAACAATACGTTAATCACTGAAGCATCTTCATTGAACAAAATGAAAGAATTCATTTTTGAATCACTGAGGCGAGGAATCTTTGGCAACGGGAAGGGCATGGGACGCATTGACGGGTTTTGCAGCCCTTTGTGGTAACACCTTTTGGCTTTGTCCTAGCAAAACCGCGTGGTGGGCGCCATGCAGCTCTATTCCGTGGACCGCAAGGTCTCCCAGCCCATCGAGGGGCACGCGGCCGCCTTTGCTGAATTCAAAGTCGAAGGAAACGCCAAACCTTCCACCCTCTTCTGCTTTGCGGTCCGTAGCCCTGCAGGAGGCAAGGTAACAAAATGGGACTTTGCGTAAACTTTGGCCTCCCCCCCCCCGGGGTAAGTTGCCGTTCAGCTTTCCCCCTATTTGGATTGTCCTTCCATGGTTTTTTCCAGCTTCACATCATCGAAGTGGGCCAGCCCGCCACGGGAAACCAGCCCTTTGTCAAAAAAGCAGTCGATGTCTTTTTCCCTCCCGAGGCTCAGACCGACTTCCCGGTTGCCATGCAGGTAAATGAAAGGGGAAGCAGGTTTGAAATCCTCTCCAGCCCTTTATAACCTCCCTTCCTCCCCCGGGCAGGTATTTAACAGCTAACCAGTTTATGCAATGTAAGATGTAATGATGGGAATGCCTCAGCAAGCTCTGTGTCTCTTTAAGAGCCTTTGTGTAAAGGGAAGGCTCTGCTGATGTGTTCTCTCCCTTCCATTTCCTGCTGTAATTGTGGTTTGTTGGATCCTGCTGTATGAGCACATGTACGTGTATTGTTCCTGGTGTTGTAGATCAAGGGGTCTTCAAACATGGCCCTTTTATGACTTGTGGACTTCAACTCCCAGAATGCCTCAGCCAGGCACGCTGGCTGAGGAATTCTGGAAGTTAAAGTCCACAAGTCATAAAAGGGCCACGTTTGAAGACCCCTGTTGTAGATAGTGTAAGATAAATCACCATTTAATACAAGCTACTGTTTGCTGCGTTGACTCCTGGGTTATCTCAGCGCAATAAGACTGTGCTGAATTAAAATGTACAACATGCGAAATCTATATATTTGCTTGAGATATAATGTTGCTGGTATCCTCTGCTAAAGAAACAGTCTCTTTTCAGACCTGACCTTCTCACTTGGAAAGCTGTGAGTCTTTAGGGCTTAAGGCGCAGTCTTTCCGGACGAGAGATAATAGCGTCCCCTTCTCCGTCATTTAACAGATTGGGACAAAGCACGGCGTGATCTACCTGATCACCAAATACGGCTACATACACATGTACGATTTGGAATCCGGGGTCTGCATCTACATGAACCGAATCAGCGCTGAAACGATATTTGTGACATCGCCTCACGAACCGACCTCTGGAATTATTGGGGTGAATAAAAAGGGACAGGTAAGATGGTTGCTGGAAGGCTAGAAATGGATGGGTCTCCCAAGGAGGGCCATCTAGCGCAGGGGTGTCAAACTCGCAGCGTCACGTGACGTGCCACTACGTATCGAGAGTTTTCTCCCATTGCCGGAGCTGGGGTTGGGTGTGGTTTCGGTGTGACGCATCTGGCCCGTGGGCCGGCAGTTTGACACCCCTGAACTAGTGGGATCCAGAAGAAGGGCCTTCTTTGTGGAGGCTCCCTCCCTGTGGAACATCATCCCTGCAGAAATAAGGTTGGCTCCTATTTTGACGCAAAACCTGAAGACCTGGTTTTGCTGAGGGACCTGGGGGCTCCAGAGTGGGATGAAGCCCATTAATTGATTGTTGTCAGTAGGGAGTGGTTGTGTGTTACTGCCTTTTTACTGTTCTTGTATTGAGCTTTTATCCTTGTAAGCTGCCTGGAGTCACTGAGAGCAAGTTGGGCAGCCAAATAATTTTTCATGACAGACAGATAGCAGATGGCAGATAGGAGAGAGAGAGAGAGAGAGAGAGAGAGAGAGAGAGAGAGAGAGAGAGAGAGAGAGAGAGAGAGAGCAGAGAGATAGCAGAAAGAGAGAGAGCGAGAGAGCAGAAAGAGAGAGAGAGAGAGAGAAATAGCAGAGAGATAGCAGAAAGAGAGAGAAATAGCAGAAAGAGAGATAGCAGAAAGAAATAGAGAGAGAGATAAAAGAAAGAGAGAACTAGCAGAGAGAGACAGAATAGGTGGATAGGTAGGTAGATAGGTAGATTAGAGAGAGAAAGATGGGCCAAGATGGTATAAGATCTCCTGCCTTGAGTAGGGGGCTGGACTAGAAGATCTCCAAGGTCCCTTTCAGCCCTATGATTCTATCACCCAAGGCACAGGATTCCCTAGCCCGGCAAATCAAAAACGGCAAAGCAATATATACTTGCAACGCCTATTTTTTTTTTGAAGGTGTTATAATTCTGGATAGTTTTCTCATTATCTTGGCTGTAGTTGTCACGTTTCCTCACCTGCTCTCTCTTGATAGGTCCTTTCTGTTTGTGTGGAAGAAGACAATATTGTCAACTACGCCACCAACGTCCTTCAGAATCCTGATTTGGGCCTGCGGATGGCTATCCGAAGCAACTTAGCCGGAGCAGAAGAACTCTTTGCCAGAAAATTTAATACTCTTTTTGCGCAGGGCAGCTACGCGGAGGCAGCTAAGGTAGCCGCGTCCGCACCCAAGGTAAATAATTTTTGAAGCGATCTGCGTCTTCAAAACATTATCTACTTCAGGGGTCTTCAAACTTGGCCCTTTGATTGACGCGTGCCTGGCTGAGGCATTCTGGGCGTTGAAGTCCACAAGTCATCAAAGGGCCACGTTTGAAGACCCCTGATCTACTTAATTCCTGCGAGTTGATGGCCTTAATTCCACTCTCTTGTTGCTTTTGGCATTCAAAAATGGGTTGATGGATTGCTCTTGGTTTCCTCTCTTGGAACAACCCATAAATCCCATTAACCATCCAACTTCAACCTTAGGGCATCTTGCGCACCAGCGACACCATCCGGAAATTTCAGAGCGTCCCAGCTCAAGCCGGACAAGCTTCGCCCTTACTACAGTACTTCGGGATCCTCCTTGACCAAGGACAGCTCAACAAATTTGAGTCTCTGGAGCTCTGCCGTCCCGTCCTTCAGCAAGGCCGCAAGCAGCTGCTTGAAAAATGGCTGAAGGAAGACAAGGTAAGCCAGCACCGTTTGTTAGTGTGGTTCTGTAAACTGTAAGCCACAAACAAGGATGCATCACTAGGCCTAACCATGACATGTGGTGAAGTTCTCTAGACAGCCCATTGGACAGATTCATGCTTCTCTCACTTCAGATGTTATAATAATAATAATAATAATAATAATAATAATAATAATAATAATGAGAGCTATGCTAGAGGTTCAACCATACTGGACAGGTCTCATCAGAGGAGTCAGACAAAGAGTGTCTCTCCCATAAAAAATATGGTGAGACGTAAATTTCAGAATGCCATACCGGCTCGGACGTCGCCCGGGTTAACAAGGTCCGCACTAGATATTGGAGTTCCTGGATATCTGGTGAAAAATGGGTTACAGGACTCAGGACTGTTGGCTGAGCAACCAGGGCCAGCAGCTGCAGAACTACTGGAAGAAAAGGTGTTTACCCGTCGCAGATACACAGTGATGGAAAACAAAGAAATAATGATCTGTTACTACAGATCAAGTCCAACAAGAAGAGGATATCTAAAACGAATGCACCAGTTCTGGAAAGAACAACATCCAGAATCAGAAATAACAGAACAGAGACTAGCAGATCAACGCCGATTTATAACACGAAATAAAGTATTTACAGAAACAGAATTGGACGAACTGCAAAGGTTTACCCAGGGCAAAGAAATCAAAGCCTTACCAGAAGTAATTCAGAATGTAGAGGCAAACCAGGGGGAGTTGGCAGTGAAGGAATCTAGCAGAGATATACAACTGTTCTCATTTGGAAACCAGGCACCTCTACCTCAGGAAGAACAAAACCCTCTAACTAAAGAAATAAAAGAATTGAAACAAAGAATAACTGAGCATCTAGAACAGCACAAAAACAACAGAATAAGGCTACCTGCATTGAAGCTTGTTCCAAAGAAACAGCTAGCACAAGCATTAAAAGATGCAAATATTGCAATATCAAGTATAAGCACCAATTCATTGCAAGAAACAAACCAACTAATGTACAGCACAGCTGCAGTTATAACAGAATACCTGGGATGCAAAATCAACAAAGAAGAAAAACAAACAAACAGTGCACCAGAAAAAAAATGGAAGGTTAGACTAGAAAATAAGATCAGCAAGTTAAGATCACATGCAAGCAAGCTAGAACAGATGAAAGAAAAGAAGCTGAAGAACAAGAAGACCAAAGAATACCTAATCAAGAAATACCACTTAGAAACAAGGAAGATCAAGGAAGCACTGGAAATAATAAAGCAACAAATAACAGCTATAGCCAGGAAAATCAGTAGATATGAAGCTCGAATTGCAAACTATAGGCAGAACCTCCAATTTCAATCCAATCAGAAACGTTTCTACCAATCCATCAATGGAGAAACTGCAAGGAATCAGTCAGTACCTGACAAGGAAGAAACAGTGCAGTTCTGGAAGCAGATATGGGATAACCCAAAGAAATACAACAAGGATGCGGCTTGGTTAAAAGAGGTGGATGCAAATAAAACAGAAGTTGAAATGAAAGAACTAGTAATAACAACAAAAATGGTAGAAAAAAGAGCAAGGAAAATCAAAAATTGGTCAGCACCAGGTGAAGATGAACTGCATGGGTTTTGGTTGAAACATCTAACTGTTATACACCCACTCATTGCCAAACAGTTCAACAATATACTACAAGGAGGAGAAATTGAAAAGTGGCTAACAACTGGGAAAACCTACCTAATAATGAAAAATCCAGCAAAAGGGGCAACACCAGGTAACTACAGGCCAATTACCTGCTTACCAACAACTTTCAAATTACTAACTGGTGTAGTAGCTGATGCAGTGCAACAGCATCTAGTTGAAAACAATCTCTTTCCACCTGAGCAGAAAGGAAACCGCCCCAACAGCAGAGGAACAAAAGATCAACTCCTAATAGACAAAATGATCTTGGAAAACTGCAAGAGAAGGAAGACCAACCTGAATGTGGCATGGATTGACTACAAAAAAGGCATTTGACTCTCTGCCACATGATTGGATAATAAAGTGCCTAGAAATAACAGGAGTCAGTAGAAACATCAGAAAATTTGTGCAAAGATCGATGGCACAATGGAAGACACAGTTGCAGATCAATGGTGAGAGAGCTGGGAGAGGTTAATATCAAGAGAGGAATATTTCAAGGAGATTCATTATCACCATTACTATTTGTTATTGCACTGTTTCCTCTGTCAACAATACTGAATAACTCAGGACATGGCTATCAAACATCAAAAACATCTGCCAGACTATCCCACCTCCTTTATATGGATGATCTGAAGCTGTATGGAAAAACATCATCTGAAATAGAATCGCTGCTCAACACTGTCCGTATATATAGCCAAGATATTGTAATGGAGTTTGGCTTGGACAAATGTGCCACACTTACTATCAAACAAGGAAAAATAATGAAAACTGAAGGAATCAAGATGCCCCACGAAAATAACATTAAGAGTCTGGATGAGGAAGAGTACTACAAATACTTGGGTATCCTTCAAGCTGACAACATCAAGCACACTGAAGTCAAGCAAAAGATTAGAGGTGAATACATCAAGAGAGTGAAGAAGATCTTAAAATCCAAACTCAAGGGAGGAAATACCATAAAGGCAATCAACACCTGGGCAATCCCAGTCATTAGGTACACAGCTGGAATAGTGGACTGGACTCAAGCAGAACTAAAAGCAATGGATAGGCAGACCAGAAAAAATAATGACAATGAATCATGCCCTTCATCCACGCAGTGACATTGATAGACTTTATCTACCAAGGCAAATAGGTGGGCTTGGAATGCTACAAGTACATCAGATGGTTGAAGAAGAAAAAATGGCTTTGGAAGAATATCTGGAGAACAATGATGAAGATGCACTGAAATTAGTATTATCAGGAAGGCTTACTAAACTACGAGAGACCCAAACTGGCCTTCAAGAAAGACCAAATGAAGAACAGAATAGAGGCTATGGGAAGACAAAGCACTACAATGGCCAATACATGAAAAAAATAGCTGGAAAAGCAGATAATACCAAGACCTGGCAATGGCTAAGAGCAGGAAAATTGAAGAAAGAGACCGAGGGACTAATTCTGGCTGCACAAGACCAAGCCTTAAGGACAAATGAATACAAAGTCAAAATTGAGAAGACAGCAACAGACAGTAAGTGCCGCCTATGCAAAGAAGCTGAAGAAACAGTGGACCACTTGGTAAGCTGTTGCAAGAAGATTGCACAAACTGATTACACGCAGCGGCATGACAAAGTAGCAACAATGGTGCATTGGAAGATCTGCAAAAAAATATCATTTGCCTGTAAGCAAAAACTGGTGGGATCATAAAATAGAGAAAGTCATAGAAAATAATAAAATTAAACTGCTCTGGGACTTCAGAATTCAAACAGACAAGCACCTGCAACATAACACCCCAGACTTAACAATTGTCGATAAGAAAGACAAAAACGTCTGGATAGTGGATGTGGCAGTGCCTGGAGATAGCAGAATAGAAGAGAAAGAACTGGAGAAGATAACAAAATACAAAGACCTACAAATAGAAATAGAAGACTGTGGCAAAAGCAAGCAAGGGTAGTACCAATAGTCATAGGCTCCTTGGGTGCAATCCCAAAACAACTGGAGCACCACTTGAACACCATTGGCATTGACAACTTCGCTATTAGTCAATTGCAAAAGGCGGCCTTATTAGGAACTGCTTCCATCCTGCGACGATACCTGTAATACCATCAATCATCCACATCTGCCTATCCCAGGTCCTGGGTAAGGACTCGATAGGTAGACAAAATGCCAAATCCAGTCTGAACATCTGGCTGACTGTGCGATGATCGATAATAATAATAATAATAAGGCGGCCTTATTAGGAACTGCTTCCATCCTGCGACGATATCTGTAATACCATCAAACATCCACATCTGCCTACCCCAGGTCCTGGGTAAGGACTCGATAGGTAGACAAAATGCCAAATCCAGTCTGAACATCTGGCTGACTGTGCGATGATCGATAATAATAATAATAATAATAATAATAATAATAATAATAATAATAATAATAATAAGCACAAGACCAAGCCTTAAGGACAAATGCATACAAAGTCAAAATTGAGAAGACAGCAACAGACAGTAAGTGCCGCCTATGCAAAGAAGCTGAAGAAACAGTGGACCACTTGGTAAGCTGTTGCAAGAAGATTGCACAGACTGATTACAAGCAGCGGCATGACAAAGTAGCAACAATGGTGCATTGGAAGATCTGCAAAAAATATCATTTGCCTGTAAGCAAAAACTGGTGGGATCATAAAATAGAGAAAGTCATAGAAAATGATAAAATTAAACTGCTCTGGGACTTCAGAATTCAAACAGACAAGCACCTGCAACATAACACCCCAGACTTAACAATTGTCGATAAGAAAGACAAAAAAGTCTGGATAGTGGACGTGGCAGTGCCTGGAGATAGCAGAATAGACGAGAAAGAACTGGAGAAGATAACAAAATACAAAGACCTACAAATAGAAATAGAAAGACTGTGGCAAAAGCAAGCAAGGGTAGTACAATAGTCATAGGCTCCTTGGGTGCAATCCCAAAACAACTGGAGCACCACTTGAACACCATTGGCATTGACAAATTCGCTATTAGTCAATTGCAAAAGGCGGCCTTACTAGGAACTGCTTCCATCCTGCGACGATATCTGTAATACCATCAAACATCCACATCTGCCTATCCCAGGTCCTGGGTAAGGACTCGATAGGTAGACAAAATGCCAAATCCAGTCTGAACATCTGGCTGACTGTGCGATGATCGATAATAATAATAGTTGGAAGAGACAAGGAAGGGAAGGAAAGAAGGAAGGAAGGAAGGAAGGAAGGAAGGAAGGAAGGAAGGAAGGAAGGAAGGAAGGAAAAAAAACAGCAATACCACTTCACAGTGCTTTACAGCCCTCTCTAAGCAGTTTACAGAGCCAGCACATTGTCCCCAACAATCTTGAGTCCTCATTTTACCGACCTCAAAAGGATAGAAGGCTGAATCAACCTTGAACCGGTCGGGATCGAACTCCTGACAATGGGCAGAATCATCCTGCCATACCGCACTCTAACCACTGCGCCACCACGGCTCTTGATAACTTGCCTCCTTGCGCAGCAGAGTTGCCCACTGAAATGCAAACAACAGTTTGCCAACAGCAACAGTTGTGGTTGTTGGGACATGGCGGGAGTGTGAAAGTATTTTCGGAGGCTGGCCCGATGTCAATAACTTGGAAAGGCCGATTCCGTTGGCCTCGTGTGCCAAGCCGGCCTGCCGTTTTTCAACCTTGGACGGGCGTTGATTTCTGGCATCTTTTTATTTCAGCTGGAGTGCTCGGAAGAGCTGGGAGACTTGGTGAAGGCTGCGGATCCAACCCTCGCCCTGAGTGTTTACCTCCGCGCGAACGTCCCAAACAAAGTCATCCAGTGTTTTGCGGAAACCAGCCAGTTCCAGAAAATCGTCCTTTATGCCAAAAAGGTAAAATTTATCTTCTCTTTCGGTCTGAAAGCGCCAGCTTGTGCAATGAGCTCACCTTGCAAGTCAACACATTTTTTTTCTTTTTTTAATTTTATCTTTCCTGAGATAAGACAAAAGTCTCCGAACATTCCAATAGGTTAGAAGCACGAGGTGTAACCGTCTCAACTTGCTGAGTTTCTGTTTGGGTTGCAGGCTCAGACATGACTTATTTTGACATATAGGGCGTGCTTGACTTAACGGTTGCAGTGGAGCAAAAATTTCGGCTACTAAGCAAGACAGTTAAGTCCCTTTTGCCTCGGTTTACGTCCTTTCTTGAATCACTGCTTTGTTCAGTTAAGTAACCTGGTTGTTAAGTGAATCTGGCTTCCCCACTACTTAGTTTGTCAGAAAGTCACAAAAGGGGATCACATGATCCCAGCACGGTGCAACCGTCGTAAATATGACCCAGTTGCCAAGCCATCTGAATGATCCCATGACAGTGGGGACGCTGCAATGGTTGTAAGTATGAAAAACGGTCGTAAGTCACTTTGTGCAAGGCTGTGGTTACTTTGAACGGTCACTAAATGAATGATTGTAAACCGAGGACTACCTGTACCTAGCAAAATGCCCAATAGCCCAGTAACTGAAGTCACACAGGTCATTAAACCCATAAATCGTGATTTAGAGGCCACAGCAGTTTTGGCCTGCTCCTTATATAAACTAGATAAGCCAGGTTATGGTTTAATGCAAGAGTTTTCAAATTTTTTTCATTAAGTGGCAAATCTCTGAGCTGCAAATCCTTGGGCCAGTGGAATCTTTCACAAAGTTTCAGATTGCTCATTGACCCCCAAACATTTATTGTATAAAAATAATTTAAAATCGTGACTTTTAACTAATAGTTGAGAACAATAAAGTCATCTGGTCAGCATTTGTGACCTTCCTATCTTCCAAACAGTAAAGTTAGTGGTAGAAACTGAATTTGCTGAATGATTGCATGATTAGCAACTTAACAACGGTGGCAAAAATTGGTTGTAAAATCGGGCTTAACTCAGTATTTTTCTTCCTTAGCAGTGGAAATTTTGGGCCCTATTGTGGTCAATTATCTGTAAGACGTTCTTGAATTTCTCTTTTGTGGACGTCTCGGTCACCGTTGGTCCAAATCAACTAACGTGATCTCTTATTTTAAAGGTTGGCTATACCCCTGATTGGATTTTCCTGTTGAGAAGTGTAATGAGAGTCAATCCAGATCAAGGACTTCAGTTTGCTCAAATGTTGGTCCAGGATGAAGAGCCTTTGGCCAACATCAATCAGGTAAAGAGCACTTCCAGACTCTGGTGGTTCTAGAACAGGGGTTTCCAAACTTGGCACCTTTAAGCCTGGTGGACTTCAGCTCCCAGAATGGCTCAACACAGCTGGGGAATTCTGGGAGTTGAAGTCCACCAGTCTTAAAAGTTGCCTAGTTTGAAGAGCCCTGTTGAAGAAGATAATTTGAAATCTATTATGGTGTTGAATTTACTTCGACTTTGTGTATCTCGTCGTCTCTGAAGCAAACAAACTTGGAGTCTTCTCTCATCCTTGTTATGAATGGGTAGATATTTTGTGGAAAGTGCAGGGAAGCAATAAAGATGCCTGCGCTTTCATAGGACCATCTGATCTCAGAGATCTAACTCTGAAAGGAATGAGAATTGTTTCGTCAGCTTTCCTTCCGACAATGGAAGCTGGGCCATTTCCAGGGTGCAGAAAGCTGAAAGTAATGTAATTATAACCTTTTGTGGTGTGATGGTTGACACAACAGAAAGATAGGTGTTATGTGGGTAGAAGGCAGTATTGAAGGCTGACTCTGCCCACTGCCGGGAGTTCGATTCTCACCGGATCAAGGTTGACTCAACCTTCTATCCTTCCGAGGTCGGTAAAAGGGGAGCCCAGACTGTTGGGGGCAAAAGGCTGCCTCTGTAAACCGCTTAGAGAGGGCTGTAAAGCATTGTGAAGCAGAATATAAATCTAAGTGCTGTTGCTATTGCTGTGTCCTTCCGCAGATTGTCGATGTGTTCATGGAGAACAGTTTAATTCAGCAGTGCACTTCCTTCTTGCTGGATGCGTTGAAGAACAATCGTCCTGCTGAAGGCCACCTCCAGACCCGTCTCCTTGAGATGAATCTCATTCATGCTCCGCAGGTAACTGCTTCCCCCTCCTGCAACAGGATATGACATCATCTCGTTTCCTCTTGAGCAGGACAGTTGACCCTCTTCTAGATATAGCTTCAGCTTTACACAGGTGGTCCAAAATTGGACAACTGGCCGCCGGACAGTTCTACGTGGGATCTAACCCGGTGCGAAAAACATTGCCCGCCAGTTCCTTCGACATTATTTCCCATTGATAAAAACGGAAATAATGTTGGAAGAAGCAGTGGCAAATAATATGGATTGTCCAGTCTCTTCTTAAAAACTTCCAGTGTTGGAGCATTCACCGCTTCTGGAGGCAGGTTGTTCCACTGGTTCATTGTTCTAACTGTCAGGAAGTTTCTCCTTAGTTCCAGGTTGCTTCTCTCCTTGGTTAGTTTCCATCTGTTGCTTCTTGTCCTGCCTTCAGGCGCTTTGGAGAATAGCTTGATTCCCTCTTCTTTATGGCAGCCCCTGAGATATTGGAACGCTGCTATCCTGTCCCCCCTCGTCCTTCTCTTCCCGTGTGGAATTGTCCCACAGCGAGTTGGTCATAGCGAGTTAATCACGACCCGGGCTAGTCAGTTGGCTTTTTTATGGTGGCTTTTTTTTTTTTACATTCCACATAGGATTCGTCTACGTATAAATGCTATTGGTGTGCTTCTTCGGTTCTCTTCTTTTAGGTTGCCGATGCCATTTTGGGAAACCAGATGTTCACACATTACGACCGAGCCCACATTGCCCAGCTGTGCGAAAAGGCTGGCTTGCTGCAGAGAGCTTTGGAACACTACACGGATCTTTACGATATCAAGCGTGCCGTGGTGCACACACACCTCCTGAATCCAGAGGTAAAATATATAAAAATAAATGTAATAAAGCAAATGCCTTTTTTTTTTTTTGGCTTAATATCCTGTGAATCCATCTAGGGCAGAGGTTCCCAACCTTTTGGGCGCCAGGGACGGTTCCAGGGAGAGAGGTTTTTCTGCGGACCCGAGGGTGTGTGGTTTTGTGTGCTGCCTGCATCTCGCGGATGGGGCTTTGCTTGGTTGCTGGCATGCCGCGGCTGGTACTGGTCAACGGACCGGGCGTTGGGGACCCCTGATCTAGGGTATTGTCTAATTGAATGGTTCTGAAATATTCAACCTGAGATAACAGATCTTAGTTCTTTAATTAGTACTTGTTCCTAATGTAGTAGAAATCCTCGATATATATTCAGAAGACAAGATCACGAAGGGTTGGAGAAACAGGTTTATTTGCACAAAAGTTCAGAGCATTAGCATGACAAATTCTCAACCCCGGGCTACTATACCCTTATGAGCTATAGCAGGAGGTGGGAGAAAGAGAAGTTTATGTAATTGGCTATCATACTATATTTCTCTATAAGGATATTATCTTACACCAGTGTTTCCCAAACTTGACAATTTTAAGGCATGTGGACTTCAACTCCCAGAATTCCACAGCCAGAGTTGCTGGCTGTGGAATTCTGGGAGTTGAAGTCCTCATGCCTTAAAATTGTCAAGTTTGGGAAACACTGTCTTACACCATCTGTGACTTTCAGTATCTTTCTTACGATATGTTCCGTTACAGTAAATAACTAGCACACAGGTCACACAGCTAATTGTTACGTGAAGGAAAGTTCCTTTTTTCCTCAAGCTTACAACATCAGAGCAAGGAAGTGTCTCCTAATATGTTCAGCTACTATTGAGTATGTATTTTCCATTACTATGAGTGTGTTTTTTCCATTCTGCCTCACTAAGGCAGGTGTTTGGGTTGCGTGTTCTAGGTTATACATGCATCTCTTTTACATATTTAACTTTGGAGAGGTTTTTTTTCTCTCTCTCCCTCCTCCCCCCCCCAGTGGCTGGTGAATTTCTTTGGCTCCTTGTCCGTTGAAGACTCCGTCGAGTGCCTCCGCGCCATGTTGTCCGCCAACATCCGACAAAATTTGCAGCTCTGTGTCCAGGTGGCTTCAAAGTACCACGAACAGTTGGGCACCCAGTCTCTTGTGGAACTCTTTGAGTCCTTCAAAAGCTATGAAGGTACATCTGAGACAGGGGTCCCCAACACACGCACACCCCCTGATCCTTTATCACTGTTAATTGGAGGAAGGAATTGTGCTTTGAGGGGAGGGGAATCCAGCTTTTGGCTTCAATTGTGTTAGTGCCGACGCTATGCTTCTCAAATAAAGATTCTTTAAGGTAAACCGTGCCTCGAAGTTGTTTGAAGAGTTTCATTCGTCGGAACCACGACCTTAACACTAAATGCCAGAGACATTCACATAATGAGTTCAGCCTCTCTGGCATGTCAGAATGTAAAGCAACTGAGTGGAAAACTGGCGTGACAGATTAAAGAGGATCACTAGAAGATCAGGATTAGCCTGATAAGATTAATTGACTCAGTATTACAAGAAGAGCAGTATCCTATACTTGGTTTAAAGGAACCAAAACAAAAGTGTGTGTTTTAAGCTGTAGTCAAACTGCTGAAATGCCTACGTGAGTTTGGGAAATATTTTCAACCTGTTTGGCTTGTTTTTATAGCCCAAATTAAAGCCAAAAGACCTGGTGCAAGCATATTCAATTAAACTGGTTCCTGAAAATTTTCTGACTTGTGCCAAGAAAAAAAAAGGGGGGGGGACTTTAATTCTTTGAACTTACTCATCTCTGCATCTCCGCTAACGACTTGTTTCTCTGCCCGTCTAGGACTCTTTTATTTCTTGGGCTCTATTGTCAACTTCAGCCAGGACCCAGATGTCCATTTTAAATACATCCAGGCTGCCTGCAAGACAGGCCAAATCAAAGAAGTTGAAAGGATCTGCCGTGAAAGCAACTGTTACAATCCAGAACGAGTGAAAAATTTCCTGAAGGTAAAATTCTGGGCACGGCAGCTTCGGCAACTTTTAAGATGGGTGGACTTCGACTCCCAGAATTCCTGGGATGCTGGCTGGAGAATTCTGGGAGTTGAAGTCCACCCATCAAATTGCTGAGGTTGAGAAACAATCTTTTAGGCTGTTTGTTTGCTTGTTTGTATCCCATCCTTACTATTTTTATAAATAAGTCAAAGCAGTGAATGTATCCAACATATCTTCCTCCTCCTACTTTTCCCCCAAAACAACGACCCTGTGAGGTGGGATCTATCTCTCTTAACAGTCTCTGATTTATGTCTTGTGTGTTTCTTTTGCTGCCCATCTAGGAAGCCAAGCTTACCGACCAGCTTCCCTTGATCATCGTCTGCGACAGATTTGACTTTGTTCACGACTTGGTCCTTTACTTGTATCGCAACAACTTACAGAAGTATATTGAGATATATGTTCAGAAGGTACGGTTCACTTCCTCTGGGTTTGAACTGAAGACTCTTGATCGTGTGATCGTGGGGAGGCTGCAGTGCTTCTGAGTGTGAAAAAGCAGTCATTTAGACCGACTCGTCAGAGGGTGGGATTGCAAGCCTCGAAACTAAACAATCGGTCCCGCTTTAGGTGAACCCAAGTCGCATTCCCGCGGTCGTGGGAGGACTCCTGGACGTGGATTGCTCCGAAGATGTGATCAAGAACTTGATCATGGTGGTGAGAGGTCAGTTTTCGACGGACGAATTGGTGGCCGAAGTGGAGAAAAGAAACAGGTGAGAGCCAGAGGGATCTTCAGAATATTTTATTTCCCAAGAGCGATTAAATTAGCTTCCCTGATACCAGAGGTCCCCAACCTTTTGGACATCAGGGACCGGTTCCGTGGAGAGAGATTTTTTCCGTGGATCGGAGAGGGGTGTGGTTCCATGTACTTCCAGCATCCCACGGATGGGGCTTTGCTTATTTGCACGGACCGGTTTTAGGCATGTCACAGCCCGGAGTTGGGGACCCCTGCACTATACAACCTCAGGGCACATATAGGTCGTGCTTGACCTGACAACCTTTCGTTTAGTGACTGTTTGAAGTTACAGCGGCAGTGAAAAAAAGTGACTTATGACCATTTTTTACACTGAACGATGTCAAGAGTGAAAATCTGGCAGCTACATGACTCTCTGTTTTCATCTTGCCATCAGTGTAAGGGCAGATGGGAGGCGTTGCTTTCGAATGGGTTAGTTTGAGAAACGAAATCTCTCCAGTTTTACGGAAGAGTCCGCAGTCTGGAAACCTTTCAAGGACATTCTAGCAGGCGTGAAGAAGATAGCAGAGGGTTCCCATAACAAAGAAGATAGGTTTACATGAGATAGGTGGACATCTGGGGGTGGTTTGTCTGGGAAAGTCTGATGCCTTGGGATTTTAGAGTTTTACCTCGCTTGCACCACGTCACCTATTCAATAAACAGGAAGCATTTCAGAAATGAAAATAATCCTGGACTTTTATTTGGCTGCTCGAGGTGGAGATTTGACGTAAGACCATTGCAGCCGCTCCATGGTCACGTGATCAAAATTCAAATGCTTGGCAACTGGCCTGTACTTACGACGGTTGCAGTGTCCCCGGGATCACGTGATCCCCTTCTGAGAAGCAAAATCAAAATGGGGGAAGCCAGATTGACTTAAAAGCCGTGTTACCAACTGGTAGCAAGAAAGATCATCAAACGGGGCAGAAGTCACTGAACCACGGTCTCCCTTAGCAACAGAAAGGTTGGGCTCTGTTGTAAGTCGAGGACCTCCTGTACCTGCTTTTTAAAACCAGCAGGTAAACCACAGCAGTTGTTCCAGGCACTGGGGGGGAAAGGATGTGTTGCTTCCTGCCTTGAAGATGTTTAGACTGATGTGGGTTTAGGCTGGAGCTGCTTCTCTGTAAGAGGGTGTCCTCTTCTTGAGAAAGACTTTGCAGAAAGATAAACCAGGATCAATTGTTTAAAAGCTGGCTAGGACCAGCGACAGAGCGAACTAAGGATCCCTGTTCTTCTCCAAAGGCTGAAATTGCTCCTGCCTTGGCTGGAATCTCGGATTCACGAAGGCTGCGAAGAGCCGGCAACTCACAACGCCCTGGCTAAAATCTACATCGACAGCAACAACAACCCCGAGCGCTTCCTGCGGGAGAATCCCTTCTACGACAGCCGCGTGGTCGGAAAATACTGTGAGAAGAGAGACCCTCACCTGGCCTGTGTGGCTTATGAAAGGGGGGAGTGTGACCTCGAGCTCATCAAGGTGAGCATGGTCGTTGGAGACGAAGCAGCAGAAGGCTGTAGTGTAGAGGCTAATATGAATAAAAAGGGTTTTTTAAAATAATAATAATCCACCATGTTGTTTATGGAGATTCTCAGTCCTCCAGGTCACGGTTGTCCCAAAAGTGCTTCCCCCCCCCCCCCCAGGAAACAGCTGGACTTCCTTCTTTTTCTTGGAAGACATTTCGCTTCTCATCCCAGAAGCTTCTTCAGTTCTGACAAGATGGTGGGGAAACTTTCCTTCCCCACCATCCATTCAGAGCTGAAGAAGCTTCTTAAATGAGAAGAGAAATGTCTTCAAAGAAAAACAAGAAAATCCAGTTGCCTGGTGAAAAAAAAAACATCTTTGGGATAATCCTCCATGTTTGCAACGTGGCTGCTGCCAACCTTGAAGTTGGAAAGTGTCCGTTTAAACCTGCTCCTTTTTTAAACAAAAGCCTCTTCCTTTCCTATCGCTCCCTTTTTCAGGTGTGCAACGAGAATTCTCTGTTTAAGAGTGAAGCGCGTTACTTGGTGCGAAGGAAAGATCCAGAATTGTGGGTCAGTGTGTTGGAGGAAAACAACCCCTTCAGAAGACCCCTCATTGATCAGGTAAAGTGTGTTTCTGGTTTTTTTTCCCCTTAACTAGGCCAGGATTGTGCTGAATGATTGTTCAATGGCATTGTGATTTCCCAATGCCAGGTGGTCCAGACGGCGTTATCAGAAACTCAAGATCCAGAAGAGGTTTCTGTGACGGTTAAAGCCTTCATGACGGCTGATCTGCCCAACGAACTGATTGAGCTGCTTGAAAAGATCGTCCTGGATAATTCAGTCTTCAGCGAGCACAGGTAGGGAAGACCGGTTTTTTGTAACCTTCCAAAGGTCACCTTTCTACGACATTAATCGATATTTAATTTCTCGTGAACGCATTTGTACGGCGCTATCTGCAAGGCCTCTTAAGTAACAGCAACCCTTACTACAAGCGGTCCTTGACTTACCACCCCAGTTGAGCCCCAAATGCCCATTTTCTAAGCAAGACAATGTTAAGAAACTTTTTTTGGCCCATTTTACGACCTTTCTTGCCACGGTCGTGAAGTGAACCTCTGCAGTGGTGAAGTTAGTAACACCCTTGTTAAGTGAATCCGGCTTCCCCATTGGCGTTGCTGATCAGTCGCATGTGGTGATCACATGGCCCTGGGACAGTACAACCGTCATAAAGAAGAGACTAGACACTCGCCTGTCTGAGATGGTATAGGTTCTCCTGCTTGAGCAGGGGGCTGGACTAGAAGACCTCCAAGGTCCCTTCCAACTCCTGTTCTATTCTATTCTATTCTATTCTATTCTATTCTACTCCATATTTATTCTATTTATTCTATTCTGTTCTATTCTATTCTATTCTACATATTCTATTTTACGTATTCTATTTTACGTATTCTATTCTAATTCTATTCTGCTCTATTCTACTCTACTCTATATTTCTATTCTATTTATTCTATTCTACTCCATATTCATTCTATTCTACTCTATTCTATTCTATTTTACATATTCTATTCTAATTCTATTCTACTCTACTCTATATTTCTATTCTATTCTACTCCATATTTATTCTATTCTACTCTATTCTATTCTATTTTACATATTCTATTCTATTCTAATCCTATTCTACTCTACTCTATATTTCTATTCTATTCTATTCTCTCTTAGTCTATTTTATTCTGTTCTGTTCTGCTCTCTTCTATTCTATCTATTCTAATTCTATTCTATTCTATTCTCCTATTTTCTTAGTTTTATTCTATTTATTCTGTTCTGCTCTGCTCTATCTATTCTACTCTTCTATCCTATCCTATTCTATCCTATCCTATCCTATCCTAAATACATGCCAGTTGCCAAGCATCCAAATTTTGATCACACAACCGTTAGGGATGGTGCAACGGTTATAAGAGTAAACAACGGCCCTAAGTCCCTTTTCTTTCCGTGCCGTTGTAATTTTAATCAGTCACTTCATAACAGGCTTGTAAGTTGAGAGCTGCCTGTACTGCTGGAATCTGCCGGCTTAACCGTTTGCTTGTGCGCGCTCGCCAGGAATCTGCAGAACCTCTTGATCCTGACGGCCATCAAAGCCGACCGCACCCGGGTGATGGAGTACATCAATCGGCTGGATAACTACGACGCTCCGGATATCGCCAACATCGCCATCAGCAATGAGCTGTACGAAGAAGCCTTTGCCATCTTTAGGAAGTTTGACGTCAACACGTCTGCCATTCAGGTGAGGCTGCCCTTGGCAGCTTGCCAGCCTCCGAAGATCTCTCCCCCAGGTGCTTTTTTTTTTCCCCAGGAGGCAACTGGACTTTCTTGTTTTTCCTTTGAAGAAGTTTCGCTTCTCCTCTGAAGAAGCTTCTTCTGCTCTGACTGGATGGTGGGGAGTGGACGGATGTATACACCTTGCAGACCGCTGGCCATTTGCATCCTTTTAGAGAGTGGTTGAGGCCACCGGGAGGTTTACCTGTGTCCTCAGGGTCACCTGAGTGTGGAGCCTTCCTGGCTGCAGGATGGGTCTCTTCCCTGTTGAAAAGAGGCACGGGCAGTTGGGGATGAGTCTGTGTGGCCTGCCTCTCAAACTGAAGCCCAAATGGTTCCTGTCGTTTGCAATGAGTTCTGGAAATCCGTTCAGACTCCCACACCATTCGAAGGGGGTCCATCCCCAAGTGCATGGCTAAATGGAGATTCTCAGTCCTCCAAGTCAGGGTTGTCCCAAAGGTGCATTTTCAGGAGGCAACTGGACTTTATTAGTTTTCCTTGAAGACGTTTTGCTTCTCCTTCAAGAAGCTTCCTCCGCTCTGACTGGATGGTGGGGAGTGGAAGGATTTATACTCCTTGCAGACCGCCGGTCCTTTGCGTCCTTTTAGAGAGCTGTGGAGGCCACCTGGAGGTTTACCTGTGTCCTCAGGGTCACCTGAGTGGTGCAAATGGGTGGGGAGCCTTCTTGGAACAGCCAAACCTTGGATGAGAGAGCGAAACGTCTTCAAAGAAAAAGAAGAAAGTCCAGCTGACTCGTGAAAAAGCACCTTTGGGATAACTATGACCTGGAATGACTGAGAATCTCCACAGACTTCAAAGAGCTCCATTTTTCTCCTTTTCTTCCTAGTGTTGGCTTAGTTCTGGGTTCTCCAAAGTTGGCAACTTTATCACTCGTTGACCGCTTCAAAACCTGGAGAAGAGCTGGAGAAGCGAAGCGTCTTCCAAGAAAAACGAGGCAGTCCGATTTTGCCTCCTGGAAAAAAAAAAGCACCTTTGGTTTAAGACTTTGTGGTTTTTCAACTCCCAGAATTCCTCAGTCAGGAATTCTGGGAGTTGAAGTCCACAAAGTCTTGAAGTGGCCAACTTCGGAGACCCCCCCTCCCCGTTTAGATCTTTGACCTGCTCCTCCCTTTAAAAACCTGGACCAGTTCTCTCCCTTCTGTTTTCTAAGAGAGGGGGTTCTGAAATCTCACTTTGCACCCTTTTATAGGTGTTGATAGAACACATTGGCAATTTGGACCGTGCCTATGAATTTGCCGAGAGGTGTAATGAGCCGGCCGTCTGGAGCCAGCTGGGCAGAGCACAGCTTCAGAAGGACTTGGTTAAGGAAGCGATAGATTCCTACATAAAAGCCGATGATCCATCTGCCTACATGGAGGTTGTGCAGGCAGCCAACAGAAACGGTGAGCCATTTTTTTTTTAATTTCCACCTGAATGTCAGAAAATGTTTTGCCCTTTTTTCGGTCAGCCGGCATTTGATAGTAATGGATTCTAATCGCTCCAGTCTCCTGTTTTTCCAAACCTCCGTGTTAAGAATATACATTACTTTTTATTCTCTCTGCACATACAGCGTGCATATTACCTCAGCGTCCATATTTTTTTTTTATTATAATTTTTGCAATTTTACAATAAAAACCCCTTTCCCAATCCTTCCCCAAAACCCTCCCCCGTTCTTCCCAGAGCTAGATACAGAGTTAACTAAAACTTAGTAGAAAAAGCTTATAAACTCAAATAAACCACAAACAAATATGATTATATTCAATGAACAAATTGTTAAATACATTAACTCCATTATATATAAAAAAAACAGAAAAAGAAGAAAAGAAAGAAAATTAAAAAAATAATAAAAGGGAAAAAAAGGAGAAAAACTAAACTATTCTACACTTCTAAATAATATCTTAAACTTTAAATATAAATTATTCAAAAGCTAAATAATATTTTCTAATATCATACCTATATTGTATAAAATTTATCCATCTTTTCCACACCAAGAGCGTCCATATTTTGATAGGTATATCTATTTAAAATACACAGCTTGGCATATGGAAAGCTGGGAGTCTGCTTATAATTCAGAAATGCAAAACATTTTTAACGTGCATATTAGTTTAAGTTAGTTGCATTGGTTTGGTTAAAACTGTGATCATGTAGAACAGTGGCTCCCAACCTTTTCTGTACCCCGCACCCCTACAACGCTTCTGATATATTCTCGCACCCCTTACAAAAGTTCAAAATAATGGCAACAAATGGTGCATATACACTATAATTTTGAAAACCCAAGTTTTTGCACCCCCTGGAATATCGTCTCGCACCCCCAGTTGGGAACCCCTGATGTAGAAGCTGGCCAGAAAAATCTCTGCGTGACTCTCTAAATCTGTAAGTCTGTCATTCTACGTGGCGATGTACACAATTGTTTAAATTAGCTTAAAACAGAAAGATACCAAAGAAATAAGTTTCCTAAAATATTTTTCTGTATGCGATCAGTTTGTCAGTATACTAGTAAGCCTCCCGTGGCTATGTACAGTATTCTTCCGTTCATTCCACTGCTGCTTTTTGCAAATGCCTGACATCCTGAAAATGTCATCGTAAAATAAATTATTTGTTCTCTCTTTTTGCGTCCCTTCAAGATAACTGGGAGGACCTGGTCAAATTCTTACAGATGGCTCAGAAGAAAGCCAGAGAGTCTTACGTTGAGACCGAGCTGATTTTTGCCTTAGCCAAAACAAACCGACTTTCGGAGCTAGAAGAATTTGTCAGCGGCCCTAACAACGCACACATACAACAGGTATTTTTATGTATTTATTTACTTATCCATTCTTACCGCAGGTTAACGAGGCGGCTTGCAATATTAAATTTTATTTGGAGGTTAAAACCTTTAGCCCAGTTAAATTAAACATAATTCCTAAGAAATGACATAGTGTAGTGATTAATAAGGATGATAATTTGATTAAGTGCATCAGTCCTCTTGATTCCCAGAGAGTCCGGGCAATTTGCAGATGGTTAAAAACATTTAACAACTAGGAAACCACAGAAACGCAAAACTGAACAAAACTCGGGTTGCACCGGTAGGTTTTCCTGTGTGAGCTAGACAAGTGCAAGGCCAAGCCAGCAGACTTTGTCACTAGGTGGGGCCAACCCTGAGAAGAACAGCAAAAACTAACTCTAAATCATGGTTTGTTGCTTAGCACACCGATGCTGGCATTCACGTTCTGTTGCTTTGTCATTGGCCAGTTTTGTCCTCTCGTCTCTTTTCAGGTTGGTGATCGCTGCTACGAGGAAGGGATGTATGATGCGGCCAAGCTACTCTACAATAACGTGTCGAACTTTGCACGCCTGGCCTCCACCTTGGTGCACCTGGGGGAGTACCAAGTAGCTGTGGATAGCGCGCGCAAAGCTAACAGCACCAGGACGTGGAAAGAGGTGAGTTGCTTGGCATTCTTCACGGGGAAAGATATTTTGACTTAAGATTGTAATTGAGCCTGGGATCAAGTTGTTTAAACGGATCATCGTCACCCGATTTTACGATCCCAGTTGTGGCAGTCGATAAGCAGTTACAGTAATCGTAAAGCAAATCCCTTGTCCGCAATGGGTGGTGGGGGGTTTTGGGCCAGAAAACAGAAAGAAATGCAGTTTTCTGGAACAGCTGACATCTTGCAACCTGTAACACCATCAAACATCCACCTGTGTTTATCCCAAGTCTTTGGGAAGGACTGGTTAGATGGGGGGAAATGCCAAATCCTGTTTGAACATCTGGATGATTGCAATGAGCCCTTATTGTTGACATTGACGAAATCTCCATCGGTCAATTGCAAAAGGCAGCTTTACTTGGAACGGCTGACATCCTGCGAGGAGACCTGTAACACCGTCAAACAATATCTGCGTGTCCCAGATCCTTGGATAAGGGGACAGAAATGCCAAATCCAGCCTGAACATTGGGATGACATCTGTGCAAATCAACGGATTCGATTGTTCCCTTTTGCTAAGTGTGTCTTTTGTTGCAGGTGTGTTTTGCCTGTGTGAACGGAAAGGAATTCCGGCTTGCGCAGATATGCGGCTTGCACATCGTAATCCACGCAGATGAACTTGAAGAACTGATAAGCTACTATCAGGTTGGATTCCTTTAACTTTGATGGCATAAAAGTTACCGAAGATATTTCTGTCCCACTTCCTCCCATTGAACTGCTAATGTTAAAAACAGCTGTAGTATTTGTGGGTCAAATGAACCCACACACTAGCATCCTTTTAGACAATAGCCTTTAAAAAAATAATAATAATCCCACCAAACCCTAGAAACTGAGAACAGTTCCTGGAGGATACATACATTTAGCTGAAATTTTATTTAAATTTTAGGATGAAATCTGACATATCATAATCAGTTTTTAATCTCCGTGATGAATAAGCCTCTATTGCTCATTTTTAGTTCGGTCCAAATACAATTAGTTTTCATTGTTTACGTCTGCACACAACCACTTTAAACTTAATACAAATCCAGTTCTAAACTCGTTTGCAAAAAAAATTTGATTTTTGTAACAGAGTTCTCAAAGTTTGGAATATCTGACCTGATTCAGTTGTCTCTGCCATTAACTTTCGCAGTTTTCATTCTAACTTAAACTCTGTGGACCTAAATTCCATATTTAAGAGGTCCCTAAGTGGGCATGTGTAAATGCACTAAAGGGCCTATTGTGACACTTTAATTTTCTAACTTTGTTTGTTGGAATTTATATTTTTTGCCTGATGGATTAAATTTTAAAAAATGTTTGGAACCTCTCCTCTTTAATCAGAGTTGCCCCTTAAGCAGTTTCCTTCCGAAGTTGTAAGAACACAGACATTTTTGAAATAATAGAAAATATTTGCAATTCCAGTTTTAGATTTTGGCTGTGGTTTGCTCTCCAAATTAGTTTTCAGAACATTTCGTTACCAGGCTAGATAACCTTAACAGCAGGATTTTCTTCTCCTATTCCTCTTGAGTTTATATAAGGCTTGTGTGCTAGGAGGTCTGTGACGGGTTGTTCGTTTGGGGCTATATTAAATTTAAATTCGGAGCAGCTCACTGGTTTTCTCGTTGATTGGTTAATTCGGATGGTCTGGATTCTTACATATTCATAGGCTGGAATGGAAGTTCATGGGATTATCTGCTGATCTTGTTCCGCTGCACAGGTGGTCTAAGCTGCTTTAACCTGCTTGTGCTCTCGACTTGCAGGGCCGTGGTTACTTCGAGGAACTGATCGGTCTCTTGGAAGCAGCTCTGGGTCTGGAACGGGCCCACATGGGGATGTTCACCGAGCTTGCTATTTTATATTCCAAATACAAGCCCCAGAAGATGAGAGAACACCTGGAGCTCTTTTGGTCCAGAGTCAATATCCCAAAGGTATCTGATATTCCTGAAGTCAAGTAAATAACTGAAATTGTTCCGTTTTCCAGCTAGCTTCGTAAAATACACAAAAAGTCAAATGGTTTGGGAACCAGTAACTTTATCGTGCCTTGGACTCTTGTCTTCCTTTTCACTGTTGGCTTTCAAACCCTCCTGTGTCTTCAAGGTCCTCCGAGCTGCAGAACACGCCCACCTGTGGGGAGAGCTTGTCTTCCTCTATGATAAATACGAAGAATATGACAATGCAATAATCACCATGATGAACCATCCGACGGATGCTTGGAAGGAAGGACAGTTCAAGGACATCATTGCCAAGGTGAACGGCTATAAAGGGAATAGGAATAGAATAGAATAGAATAGAATAGAATAGAATAGAATAGAATAGAATAGAATAGAATAGAATAGAATAGAATTTAGTACCATAGTTCCCTGAATATAAGTCCTAACAGAAAAATAAGCCCTAATGCGTCTTTCGGAGCAAAAATTAACATAAGACCCGGTCTTATTTTCAGGGGAACACGGTATCCCTCCTGTTCGTTCCTCACGGTTGAGTCTTTGAAATAGATCTTCAATTTTGGATAATTAAATTTAATGTACCATTTTCTTAACCCATTCGTATCCTCCAGGTTGCCAACGTAGAGTTGTATTACAGAGCCTTGCAATTTTATTTGGATTACAAACCGTTGCTGATCAACGATCTCCTCCTCGTATTATCTCCACGGCTGGATCACACCAGGACAGTCAGCTTTTTCTCCAAGGTAACTTAAACCCACTTCTGGAAAGAACTGGCCAATACCGGGTTCAGATGGGATGGTCTAAGGCAGCGGTCCCCCCCCCACATTTTTGGCACCAGGGACCGGCTTCATGGGAGACAATTTTTCCAAGGACTGGTGGAAGGGGGGAAGCCTCTCTCTCTCTCTCTCTCTCTCTCTCTCTCTCTCTCTCTCTCTCTCTCTCTCTCTCTCTCTCTCTCTTTCTCTTAAATGTTTGCTTTCTCCCGTAGGTTAATCAGCTACCTCTTGTGAAACCTTATTTGCGCTCAGTCCAGAATCACAACAACAAAGGGGTCAACGAGGCACTGAACAATCTTCTCACAGAGGAGGAAGACTACCAAGTGAGTTTTGGAAGTCGATTTGCACACCTAACAACAGTGTGAATACAATATGGGCGTCGCGTGATTTGCAGCTCGCTCCAGCATACGTGATGATTCAGTATAAGAAATAGCTCCCCTGAGTTCTCGTGGGTGGACCCCATCGATGTGTCAACACTTCCTTAATCAATAGCAGCCGTCTAAAAATGTTGGAATTACCGTTTGTAGAATTCACAGTTCCGTTCTGCATGGAATACCAATAGCAACAACACTTAGATTTATATTCCGCTTCATAGGGCTTTACAGCCCTCTCTAAGTGGTTTACAGAGTCGGCGTCTTGCCCCCCCCCCAACAATCTAGATCCTCATTTTACCCATCTCAGAAGGATGGAAGGCTGAGTCAACCTTGAGCTGGTCAGGATCGAACTGATGGCTGAGGGCAGTGAGTTAGCCACTGTGCAGGAGGGAGGGAGGGAGGGAGGGAAGGAAGGAAGGAAGGAAGGAAGGAAGGAAGGAAGGAAGGAAGGAAGGAAGGAAGGAAGGAAGGAAGGAAGGAAGGAGGATTAGCACTTATATACCGCTTCACAGTGCTTTACACCCCCCTCTAAGCGGTTTACAGAGTCAGCACATTGCCTCCCAAAATCTGGGTCGTCATTTTGCCGACCTTGGAAAGTTGAGTCAACTCCTGGCAGTGAGCAGTGACTTAGCCTGCAAAACTGCTTTCTAATTGCTGAGCACCATAGAATTCTGGAAACTGTCATTTCAGCAGCCCCAGAAGGCATCAATTAAAACTGTTTTGGGCCAAATCTGTCTTTCCCCAAAGAACGAGGGTCAGATGCATAGAAACAGACCTACTTCTGAACAGTTTTGAGCAGAAGTGTCTAGGGAGATGCTCCATCATCCCACAGGTGCATTTTCAAGAGGCAACTGGACTTCCTTGTTGTTGTTGTTGTTGTTTTGCCTTGAAGATGTTTCGCTTCTCATCCCAGAAGCTTCTTCAGCTTGGCATGAGCACTTCCCCGTCATCCAGTCAGAGCTGGAGAAGCTTCTGGGATTTCTTTTCAGCCAGGGTCCCTAACACCTGCCTGGGCCTTTTCCTGTCTTCCCAACAGGGCTTACGAGCATCGATTGATGCTTACGATAACTTTGATAATATCACCTTGGCTCAGCGTCTGGAAAAGCACAAGTTAATTGAGTTCAGGCGGATCGCCGCTTACTTGTACAAAGGCAATAATCGGTGGAAACAGAGTGTGGAGCTGTGCAAGAAAGACCGGCTTTATAAGGTCAGTTCACGTCTTTTGCAAACTGGGTGGGAGGGTGCTTTGATCCCAAGGCGTAAGTGCCTTTTATTTAGGATCCGTCCCACCTTTTTAACGGTCGCTAAAAGACCTGTTGTAAATCAAGGACTCGCCCCAAGCACCTGAGGGCAGAGCAGGAAGCAACGGATGGAAACTAAACAAAGAGAGAAGCAACCTAGAACTAAGGAGAAGCTTCCTGACAGTGAGAACAATTAACCAGTGGAATAACTTGCCTCCAGAAGTTGTGAGTGCACCGACACTGGAATGGAATAGAACAGAATACAATAGAGTAACAGAGTTGGAAGGGACTTTGGAGATCATCTAGTCCAACCCCCTGCTCAGGCAGGAAGCCCTACACCATTTCAGACAAATGGTTGTCCAATCTCTTCTTTAAAGCCTCCAGTGTTGGAGCATTCACAACTTCTGGAAGCAGTTGTTCCACTGATTAATTGTTCTCGCTGTCAGGAGATTTCTCCTTAGTTCTAAATTGCTTCTCTCCTGGCTTTGCTTTCCACTGGGCCTGTATGGATCTGTCAGTAAAGTTACACTCTTGGTAAAATTAGGTCCCAGGAGTTTCTTCTCCTGCCTGTGCCCATGGGATGGTTGACAGCTATTTCATAATAAAAATAGCAAACATCCATTCTAAGTGCCGCGCCTTGCTTTTTCCTTAGGATGCCATGCAGTACGCGGCCGAATCCAAAGAGGCCGAACTGGCAGAGAAACTCCTTCAGTGGTTCCTGGAGGAAGACAAGAAAGAGTGTTTTGCAGCTTCTCTCTTCACCTGTTACGACTTGCTGCATCCCGACGTGGTCCTGGAGCTGGCGTGGCGACACAACATTATGGACTTTGCGATGCCTTACTTCATTCAGGTGATGCGGGAGTACCTTACCAAAGTAAGTACAGCGTCTTTGCCAAAAGGGGTCTTGCTCTGCTCCAAGCAAATTGGGGAAAGAAAAAAAAAAAACTCTGTCAAAAACTTGCTGAATGACTTAAAAGCATCTTGAGTGCCAAGGGAACATCTGTACCAGTGGCATCATTTGCTTAAAGCTATTGATTGATGTTTAAGTGGCACCGCTCTTTGGAGACGTGGATTGGTTAATGCCTGTAATTCAGTATTGATCGCAGCCTGGCAGGTGTTACTTTAACAGCAACTAGGCTGGCTGCCTTAGTTGAGCTGGGACCTATGAGGTTTATTTTGTAAAAATGAAAATAAAAAATGGAGAAGCTCTCTATGGCTTAGAAATACAGGTAGTCCTCAGCTTATGACTGCAATAGAGCCCAAACTGCCCAAAGACAGTTGTTAAGTGAATCTGGCTTCCCCTTGGACTTGACTTGTCTGTCGGTCGCCAGAGGGGGACCACATGACCCCTCAGCCTCTGCAGCCGTCGTAAATATGAGTCAGTTGCCAAGCATCTGAATTTTGAACCGTGCAACGGTTGTAAGTGTGAAAAATGGTCAAAAGTCATTTTTTTCCAGTGCCCTTGTAACTTCAGTCACTAAGCAAACTGTTGTAAGTTGAGGATTATCTGTAGCAATGTTGCATCTCAGTCCAGAAATGCAGCATTTACATCTGCAATAAGCCTCAACGTTATTCCAAAACGCGGTTGCATCGTCACAGCGAGCTCATTTTTCCTAATTTCATCCCCATTTCGACTGCTCTGTTGTTGTAATTTTCAGATTGGTTAGTACAGCTGAAGCATTTTGAATTGCCAAAGCACAGAAGCATTTTAATCCACTGTCCACCCATATAAATCAGATTATTATCATCATCATCATCATCATGTCTATAAATCGACATTCAACGTTGAGTAAAATGCAGAGCCTCTGATACTGTTCTCTTTCTGCTTCTCTTTCCTAACTCCATGGCATTTTTCCGTTTCTCCCCCAATGTTACCTTTTCTTTTGCATTTGTCTTGAACTTGATTTTGTGACCTTTTTTAATTTTATTTTAAATATTCCCCTCTTTTTAATGTCCTTTACAGGTTGATGGTCTGTTTAATAAGGTGATGCTCTCTCTAGTTTTACGCTCTTGTGTTGTTTTTAATTGATGTCGTTAAAAATTAGATCTAAAGATACAGCCGTCTCGCTATAGTTTGCACCGAAAATCAGAATAATCTAGCTTCATCTAACTAATGTCATAGTTACATATCACTTCATAAAGAACTTGGAAAAATCCAGCCGGACTTGTATCTGCCTCAGGAAGGAAAACCCAAAATGTTTTTCTTATTTGTAAGAACGTTTAGTTTCCACAGAAGATTAACAAAAACGTTCAGCAATATAGTACATGTTTAATATATATCTGATAGACTGGATCTTTCTTGAAGGATTCTTAATGCAGCGGTCAGCTTTTCTATCCTAAAGTACTCCTGGCTATTAGGAAAAAAAAAAAACCTATTTATTCTATGGAAAGTACTACAAGAAAATAGTGCGGAATAAATGGAATACAGGTAGTCCTTGACTTAGGATCGCAGTTGAGCCCAAATTTTTTGTCGCTAAGCGAGACAGATGTTAAGTGGGTTTTGACCCATTTTATGACCTCCCTGGCCATGGCTGTTAGTAGCAAGGTGGTCAAGTGGATCTGGGATCCCCATGGATTTTGCTTGTCAGATGCTTGCAAAAAGCGTTCACATGAGCAGCTGTCATAAATACGAACCAGTTGCCAAGCTTCTGAAGTCTGATCATGTGACCACGGGGAGGCTGCCACGGTCGTATGTGTGAAAAACGGGTCAAAAGTCGCTTTTTCGCAGTGCCGTTGTAACTTCAAACGGTCACTAAATGAAACAACACTCGAGGACTATCTATATAGCCAGCCAATCTGTTCACAAGTTTCCCTTGTGGGGTCCTTTCCAGGTTGAAGTCCGGTTGGATTTTGCAAGTGATAAGTGTCTACTAAGCCGTCAAGTCTTCAAGAAACAGCATGCGCCATCAGTTCTGGTATTAAAACAAGAACTAATTTAGCACACGGGAACTCGTAATAAACTTCCCCTCCTTTTACTGCAAGTTCTTTTAACTTCCATCCCTCGAGCATCTACCTAACAACCTAGATCCCAAAAGACCTCCTTCCTATTAACAAAGCCTGGAACGCTTTTGGCCATACAGTGAGAACGCCTGCCTAAAAGGGTCAGTGGCATTCAAGAGAGATTAGACCGTTTGTGAGAACGTCGTGATTCTAGGCTGATGACTCTCTCGACTCCGTCCCTGGTTCTGCCTGCTCTTCTCCTGCATCCCAGATTCTTTCCTCACCAACCTGCGCTCTTCCCACGAGGAAGGGCTCAAGAGGAAAGCTTGCCACGTTCCACGTTGATCAGTGATTGGTTTGGGATCAGCCGCAGACATCACACCATCAGATTGGCCCCTAGAAGCAGGTTTCATCTGCCCACCTGCCGTTGAAGCGTGAGCAGCCACCATCATCAGCTCTCCACCTTATAAAGGTGCTCCCTCACACACACACACACACACACACACACACACACACACACACACACACACCCTACCACCTAAATTTTTCCTCTGGCAGGACTAGGATGATACCTGCGGTTCATATCTTGGGATCCGCTGAAAGCTTTGAAAGCGAATCAAAGCCGCCGCCCTCTTTGGTTAATCCTGCCCCCTTGGCGATCCCATCCTTGTTGGCCCCAGCCAGTCAAGATCGTAAGCCAGCGACACCTCTTCGCAGTTGCCTTCCAAATGGGCCACGGGTTCAACCAAGTTGTCCCAATCCCAGGGACCTCTAAAACAGAAGCAGCAGGCAGGCGGCCACGGACATGGAATCTGCCGTAGAGTTGGGAACTTAACCTGGAGAAAGGTAAGGTAAAGGATGGCAACCAAACTCAGGGTCTGCCGCAGGCTCTTTCTTGAACGTATCCCGTTTCCTTTTGTAAACTCAGGTGGATAAACTCGATGCTTCCGAAAGCCTAAGGAAAGAAGAGGCGCAAGTAGCAGAACCGACTCCTATAGTATATGGTAGGTGGAAATATACTTTTTTTTTAAAAAAAATTGTTTCCAGGGCCTTCCGTGAATTTAGCTGACTTCTTTTAATCTTAAACTCTTCTTACCTCTCGCGCTCCCTTCTCCTAATTCCTACGTGGTGTGGGATTACAAATAAGCATTCTAGAATAAAATTTAGCTAGCTTGGTTTAGGTTTCCTCTAAAGTTTTAAGCACAGTCCTGGCTTGCTCCGAACAAGTCTTGCAACGTTTCTTGGGCTTTACAACCTCAAAAGAGTTTTTTTTTGAATATGTTCCCTGGCCTTTGTCCTTTGTCCTCTGCCCACCGATCTTTTTCTGTGCAAGAAACATCTTGTAATTCAGGTTGAGAGAGAACATCCGGTCCGTATATTACGTAGGGAGCTGCCATGTTTGAAGGTGGACAAGATTTGAGGTCTCGCTGCTCTTAATTCAGCACCTTCACAACACTAAAGTGGGTCTCATGAATTGGGTGGGGAGGGAACTTACTCCAGGAGTAAGAAGTTGGAAAATGAAATCTGGGTCGGTGGATGGGGGGGGGGGGGAGAGATATTTGCTTGAGGACATAAAACCGTGTTTCTCACCAACCTCAAATCGATCTGGCAGAAGGTAGATTTTACCGACCCGTTGCCTTCTAGGTCTCCATTAAAGGAAGCTCCTGGTGGTGAGGTCAGTCTGCCTGCGGGCATGATCTTTACACGGGGATTCCCTGCATGAGGCATGTGTCCTGTTAACCCTCCCCCCCATATGTGTTTGACGTGTGGCAAAATTAATTCTCCGCTTAGGCTGGGGACAAAGAACTAACCGATCTAACTGCAGTTTGATCCAGCGTTGTTCCTGCAGACGTTCTGTATTTTACCTTCACATTAAAAGATTGCCTTAATGTAGATTTCTGTCTGTGGTAGATGTCACCTTAGGCGCCTGAAGCGAACCTTACTTGCTACTAGGCTAACTGCAAAGAAGTAGGTTCTGGAACTTCAGAGTAGTTTCCCCATGCTTCTATAGTCATTGCAATAACTCTGCTTTAAAGAGTTTAGCCGGGGCTTTGGTTTGGGGGGGGGGGGATCAAAACTGGAACGTTTCATTCCCCTTCAGTTTCTGTCTGGGCCACCCCCTGCAAAACACACACCTAGAATCTATAATGGGCTTGTTTCCAATAGTTCAGCTAGATTCCTTTAGTTAGCCTCTCTTGGAATACATAGAACCTGGAACCATAGGGCTGGAACGGACCTTGAAGGTCTTCTAGTCCAACCCTCTGCTCCAGATCGTAGGGGCCTTATACCCTCCCGGTCAAATGGTTGTCCCATTTTTGAAAGCCTCCAGTGATGGATCAGCCACAGTCCCGAGAGGCAAGTTATTCCACTGATCGATTGTTCTCACTGTCCAGAAAATTGCTCCTTAGTTCTAGATTGGGTGTCTCTTTAACAAGCTTCCACCCGTTGCCTCTGGTCCTACCTTCTGTTGCTTTGGAGAATGGGTCGCTCCTCTCTTCTCTGGGACAGCCCCTCAAGTATTAGAAGACAGTTATGAAGTTTCTCCCCCATCCCCACCCCAATCCTTCTCTTCAATAATCTAGACATGCCTAGCTCCCTCAGCCTATGATTTAGCCTCCAGACCCCACACACGCAACGGTCTGTCCAGCTGAGACGGCTTTTCATTGTCTAATCAACCTTTCTGCCTCCTTACAGGCCAGCAGCTGATGCTCACAGCCGGCCCCAACGCCGTTCCTCCCCAGGCCAATTTTCCCTACGGATACCCAACGGCACCAGGATTTGGCCAGCCGCCGGTTTATGGATACAACATGTAACTTGCACTGCGACCGACTTTTTTCGCTGGTCACCTCTTCTTCTCTTTCCGTCCCATCTTCCTCTTTTTTTCTTTTTTGTCTCAGAAGGCACCAGACACAACTTCCTCCGTTGGCTTTGTACCGCCTTCCTGTGCCCTCCGAGGCTCAGAGACCTCTAAAGGATGCTGTTATTTATTGCTAAGTCCTGTTACATTTCAATTTCCACGAGGCAGCTCCCCTGTCCTTCTCATTTTATTTTTGGTCCCCACCACCTGAACGCGCTCTCCAAAACCTTAACCGCCGCATCTCTGCTCCGTTAGGATAGCAATAACTTCTTCAGGCCAGGAGAGATTTGGGGGTAGGGCTGGGAACGGAGAGAAGAGGTCCAGGAGATGAAGAAGGACATTGCTGTCGCTTTTCTGGTTTCTTCCGCCAAATCTGTTGTTGTTTTTTGGTTTGGTTTTGCTAATCCAGTTGTTTCTGGACGGCATCCAAGGGTCAGTGCTTAAAAAGATACCCTAACAAACGATGCAGCCCTGCGAATAAGGCAGAATTAGCTTTGGGAACTTCCTGGGGGGGGGGGGAGGGACGTGTTTTTAAAATCATACGTAACTCTTCCTCCTTTCCTTCAGTTTGTTTGTAATACCTGCCCCCCCTAAAAAAGGGGAATTTAAATATGTAGAATTGGGAAAGAGTCATAGATTTGATAGAAGGCCACCGAGAGAGAAAGAGGGGAATTTGCTTCTTGAAGTAGTTTTCGAAACTCTAGATTGGAGAATAAATTGGATCCTATCTCGGCGCAGATTATTTCCCCGATGTTTTTTTCTGTAGTAATGTAGGGCGGGCACAACAAACGTATTGACTGGTATTTAAAAGGGAAAAAAAAAAAACCACGAATGCAGCTACCTAAGTTTGCAAGCCAACATCAGTGTATCCATGTTCCCGGGGGAGCCATAAACATTGGGAAAACACATGGTTCAGCCAAGATCACACCGACACTAAGGAAAATCGTAAGATTTTGCTTATTCGTATCGCAACCCTGAAAGCTTCTCTTTTAGTTGTATTTGAACGGAGTCTCTTAAGTCTGCCGGATATCCTGAACTGACCCCCTAGTGGGTCATTTCCCCCCCTTTTTTTTCTCGGCTTTGCCAGAATTCTGTCCGATGAAGCCAGCGGCATTCTTGCATTCTTCTCCCCGATAGAGAACGGCGACCGAACCCTGCTACTTTGGTGCCACTTCTTCAGAGAACTTATATCGTTAACATTTTATGTACTTAAAAAAAAAAAAAAACCAAATTAGATAACCATGTATAATTTACGGCTATGGATCTTGTGCTAATCATGAATATTATGGAAGTTCAATTATAAAGATAAACCAAACCGGTGTCTTGCTGTGTGTGGTTCACAATGGTAGGACCGCAAGGGACCAGCAGCCTGCAAGATAATGAATCTAGCAACCACCTTAAGGGGCAATACAATTGTAGTTTGTCCTAAGAAGAAGGAGGGGGGAAAAATGCTTCCCCCCCCCAATGTAGCATTTACCAATCTTGGACTAGTCGTGGATCCTAGCTTCTTATAGCTGTGGAAAACGTCAGATGCCATGAAAACAGACTGCTTGAATTTCTTATATTTCACAAAGAATCGGGACTAGTACACCTTAAGTTACTGCTTTCTTGTTCGGGAGCAGGTGCCCTGTAATTAAAAGCTTCCTGTTTGAAAACCACAAAGTAAAGCAGTGTTTGCATTTGGCAAAACTCACATCAAATCTCTGGAAACCCCATTTGGCTGTGATAGCAGAGGCTCTGGATAGGCCAGCTATCTCTTTTCTTGTTCTAACTAGAGCCAGTTTAATGATTTAAGACATCAAGCTAAAAATCAGGAGACCCTGAGTTCTAATGCTGCTTTAGGCACGAAGCCAACTGGCTGACCTTGGGGCTTCGGAAATTTTGCCAAGAAAATGAGAGAATGAGTTAGCTGGATGTAATTTCTTTTTCTGCGGCTTTTTTTTTTAAAGGACAAGGCGGTTCTTAAATTGTGCTAATGTGGCATAGGACCAAGCTGAAAAGCCGTGTCTGCATGAGCCTCCTGCTGCAAGCAAGCTGTTTTTGCAACGGAAAAAAAAACCGGTTTGGTTGCAGTTCCAACATTGGTTCCAGAGCCGAGAAGACCTGTGCCAGCCAGTGAACCAACATCAGGAACTCCATTCCATGCAAAAAACTGGAAAAGAAGATGGTGCATGCAGAGTAGACCAAACCCGGGCAAAGTTGAACAATGCGAGGTTAAAGAAAGTAACCTCTTTAAAAACTCTTCTCTCTCCCCCTTTTCAGTGTGGGCAGTCCTTGATTTACGACCGTAGCGGAGATCAAAAGTTCCATCACTAAGCAAGACGTTAACTGAGTTTTGCCCCATCTTACGACTTTTCTTGCACAGCTGTTCATTGATTGATTGTCAGGAGGTCACAAAAAAGTGGTCAGATGACCCCGGGCACTGCAACCATCATAAATAGTCCTCAAAATAAGAGTCCAAAATTTACGTTGTTAAGCGAGACGTTTGTTAAGTGACTTTTGCCGTTTTTTACAACTTGTCTTGGCCACATTTGTTAAGCGAAACACTGCAGTTATATTAGCAACACAGTTGTGAAGTGAATCAATGGGGGTCACATGACACCCACCCCCCCCCCGGACATGGCAACTGTCATAAAAATGTGGGTGATTTGTCAAGCATCTGTAAATCACGTGAGCACGGGGATGCTACAGCGGTCATAAGTGTGAAAGACGGTCGTTAAGTCACTTTTCAGTGCCGCAGTAACTTTGGACGGTCACTAAATGAACTCTTTTTAATCAAATCAAATCAACCTTTATTGTCAAAGTACAATATGTGTACGATGAAATTGGCTAAGCCAGCTAAGTTGAAAATTACCTGTACATGCCAGCTGCCGGACATCCAAATTTTTAATCACCTGGCGGTGAGGTTTTTTTGCAAAAGTCTTAAGTGTGAAAAACAAACGTATCCCTTTTTTCCAGTGCCGTTGTTAACTTTGAACTAAAATGGATGTAAATCAAGGACTACCTGTAGACTTTCCTGGGAGAAGAGGGGAACTTTTGTAGGGCTGATCTTCTGACAAGTGTCAGATGCAGCAAACCAACATCCACGTAGAGAAGGGGTCTTCCAACTTGGCCCTTTGACGACTTAACGACTTCAACTCCCTGAATTCCTCAGCCAGCCTGGTCCTTCAGGTTTTCCAACGGTGCCCACAACATCACAATACCCTTACTTCTGGTCCTCCTCTTCTTCAGTTTCCTTCCCCCCTTTTCCAGCATTGTGGACTTCTCAAGCTTTCTATTGATCAATCAATCGTGTGTCTTCAAGCGTTAACTCTTAGCACCTTGCATATATGGGTTTTCTCCATCTGGTGATCAGTCCTTCCAGCCTTACAAAGTCCTTATACCTTTCTTAGCATCAGAGGCTTCCCCAGAGATCTGGTCTTCCCCCAGCCCAACAGGTAAACACCCTCAGGTGAACAGCAAAGGTGGTTGGTGCCGTTCTCATTTGAACCGTTAGGGGGCTGCACGCCTTGAAACGTCAGCCCTGAAATCCCCTTCCTCACCACCAGGGGATGCACCTGTCCCACGCACAGGTACAGAATCCGCCCTCCTTCCTTTTAACCCCTTGTTTACCTCCCCCCCAACAACCCCATTTGGTAGTCTGGGATGCAAAGAGACCTTGCCCACGTAAGAGCTTGCCCGGACGCGAGAAAGCCCAGACAAAGCCGAGAACAGGCTGGTGTCCACGCCACCATCTTTCCCGTTCGTGCAAAGCACGAGGGGGATCGTGTGAATGCAACCCCGCCACCCTCCAGCAGGCTGTGCAAAGCGGGGATCGGGTGAATGCAACCTCGCCACCCCCCTTTGCAGGCTGTGGAAAGCGGGGATCGTGTAAATGTAACCCCGCCACCCTCCAGCAGGCTGTGCAAAGCGGGGATCGTGTGAATGCAACCCCGCCACCATCCAGCAGGCTGTGCAAAGCGGGGGAATCGTGTGAATGCAACCCCGCCACCCACCAGCAGGCTGTGCAAAGCGGGGATCGTGTGAATGCAACCCCCCGCCACTCCCGTGCACGCTGCCAAGGGGGGGGGCGGCGCCCATTCAGCCAGCCGGTCCCACCTCCTCTCTCCGCCCCCCCCCGGCTGCCCCCCCGCCTCCCAGGCCACGCAGAGCCCCGCCTGCCCGTGGGGCGGGAGGAAAGGGGGCGGCGGCCGGCGGGAGGGAGGGAAGGAGGGCTGGCTGGCTGGCTGGCGGCGATCACGCCCCCGGAGGGCTTATACCCGAGCCGCGGGCCGCTTCGTTGGCACCAGCCGCTGCCGCCTCGCCCCGCGATGTCTTCCGCCCCACCGGCCGCGGGCTTCGTCAGCTCCTTCGCCAGACCCCGCTGCCTGGCCGCCGCAGCCCCGGCCGGCAAAGCCAAGCTGACGCACCCGGGCAAAGCGATCCTGGCAGGTGAGGATTGCATTGCGCGGCCGCCTTTGCGCGGCTCGCTTTGCCGAACAAAAAGGCTGCGGGTTGCAGGCAGGCAGGCATGCATGCATGCATGCGTGGGTGCAGGCGGGCATGCATGCACGGCCAGGCGTGGCGCATGGCTGCTGCTTTGCTGCTTCTCCCCCCTCTCTCTGTGCACCGGGGTGGAAGTTTTCTGATTGCAAAAAAAAAAAAAAAAAAAAACCACGCGTGGAAACTCCTGGCTGGTGCCACCTTTGATTGACTCAGCCTTGGCGTTTCGCTGGAGAGAGGGAAAATCCTTCAACCAGCGCCTTCTCCCCCCCCCCCCATCTGCCCATGTAAAGCGCTACTTCCGCCCCAGTCCCTTTTATTTTTTCCTCCTTCCCTTTCTCTTCTTTCTCCTTCCTTTTGCAACCGGTAGTAAGCTGCAAAGCGAGCGATTCGGCAACTCCGCCCTTTCGCCTCTCGCCACCGGCTGCTGCCGCTGCCGCTTTGGGATTGGTGGGGCTGGCATCGGCCCTCCTTTTGTGGTCGGAGATCATTGGCTTGTAAACGAAGAGTTCAAGTTCCTAGTCCCTGGGGTTTGTCGTCAGAAAGCGGCGGGGGCGGGGAGGCTGTTTTGAGAGAGCGAAGCCGGACGCTGCTTCTCCGGAGACTCCTTTAAATCGACTTGTAGTGCTAGAATGATTCGTTTAGTGCCATAGTAATGTTGGCACTATTTGCATTGGAAATGAGGGGCTGGCCTTTAATGAGGGTGGATTAAAGTGGTCACAAAGATGGAAAAAAAAGAGACGTTGAGACTCTGGAAAGAGTGCAGAGGAGAGCAACAAAGATGATTAAGGGGCTGGAGGCTAAAACATAGGAAGAACGGCTGCTGGAATTGAGTATGTCTAGTTTAATGAAGAGAAGGACGAGGGGGGACATGATAGCAGTGTCCAATATCTCAGGGGCTGCCCCAAAGAAGAGGGAGTCAAGCTATTCTCCAAAGCGCCTGAAGGCAGGACAAGAAGCAACGGGTGGAAACTGATCAAGGAGAGAAGCAACCTAGAACTAAGGAGAAACTTCCTGACAGCTAGAACAATTAACCAGTGGAACAACCTGCCTCCAGATGTTGTGGGTGCTCCATCACTGGAGGTTTTTAAGAAGAGATTGGACAGCCCCTGGAGTTGGATGGTATGAGGTCTCCTGCCTTTATGGCAGTGTTAGCAAGGAAGGAATAAATTTTGAATCCCCACGTTCTTAACTTTTTTGTTTTATTTTATTTTTTGGGAAGAATTGCGGGATTCTGCAGCGTTGGGCCTTAGATTCTAGCAAAATCAGATCAACAGGCAACCGAGCCTGTCGTGGCTCCTGTCTTGCCTGTTGTGTTTTCTCTCTTGCCTGTAGCAAAAAGTATCTTGCAAAGTTGGTTTGGACAGGAATGTTATGAATAAAGACTTTGTTTTTGCAGATAGCGAATAACAAAAAAAAAGGAGGGGGGAAGGAAATGAGTTAAATCTCCAGAACAGGCCTGGTTAGCATCTTCCCCTGACCTTAATTGCATTAAAGAAATGGATTTTGTACGCATCTTTAATAAGCAGCCATTTTGGTAGCCCGGAGTCATCAATCCCCTTAGACAGATTTCTTCCAGAACAAAGGCTTCTTGATACTTTAAAATACGTGGTGTAATTTATTTCCCTGGCCTTGGTCTAAGGCAGTGGTTCTCAACCTTTTTAATGCTGCGACCCCCAACCGGTCGTAAGTCGAGGACTACTCAACTGGTGCAGCACCGTTTGCAGAATGGGACTTTTGGCGGGCTCAGCAGGGCAGAGACAGCCTGGACAATTCCTATTGGCTTTTGAAAGCCAATAGAATTAGACTCTATTCAAGAGAGTCTATTCTATTGGCTTTCAAAAGCCAATAGAATAAAAGGGAGTAGCACAGCTAAGGAAAAGGGGGAAAAAAATGGCGGACTGCGTTGTTTGGCGACCCCCGTGAAATGGTCGTTCGACCCCAAATGGGGTCCCGACCCACAGGTTGAGAACCACTGGTCTAAGGGGAACTGAGTTTTGCAAGCTAGACTGTGTCGTTATTTTATTGTTCCCTGGATTTTGTAAGCCCAGAAAATTAGATCAAGCCCGTCAGCCAGGGTTGAGTTGACCCTGGTAAGTATTCGCTGGAAACACACCATAGCCTGGGGGATCTTTGGTACTCTCTGAGCTTGGTTGCTTTCTTGCAGACATTTCACTACCCAGCTATGTAACATCATCAGTATAGGGTTTGCAAAGAGGAAGAGGAGGACTGTAGGGTCCTTGGTGCTCTCTGAGCTTGGTGGTTTTCTTGCAGACATTTCACCACCTGACTAGGTAACATTGGACCACAGATATGGGGACAAAGATAACTGGATCATCCAGTTTTGGTTACCACGTTATAAAAAAAGGTCTTGAGTCTTTGGAAAACGCAGAGAAGAGCAACAAAGATGATTAGGGGACTGGAGGCTAAAACCTATGAAGAACAGTTGTAGGAACTGGGCATGGCTAGTCTAGTGAAGAGAAGGAGCAGGGGAGAGTCCATAGCAGCGTTCCAATATCTGAGGGTCTGTCATGGAGAGGAGGGGGTCAGCCTCTTCTCCAGAGCCCCTGGAGGCAGGACAAGAAGCAAAGGATGGAAGCTAACCAAGGAGAAAAGCAACCTGGAACTAAGGAGAAATTTCCTGACCGAATAATTAATCATTGGAACGGCTTGCCTTTGGAAGTTGTGGGTGCTTCATCACTGAAGGCTTTTAAAAAGGGACTGGACAACCATCTGTCTGGAATGGTATAGAGTCTCCTGCTTCAGGAGGGGGTTGGACTAGAAGACCTCCAAGGTCCCTTCCATATCTGTCATTCTGTTATTCATTGTCTCAGGAATCAGCCCTTTTTCTCCCTCTGGACTCTGGCTGGTACATTATTCTTGTCGTGAGCTGTTCTCCTCCAGTGCACTTGCTCTCTGGGAACCTCATGCTGACAGCTGGCTGATGTTACAAGCGCACTTCGTTTTTCCTCCCACTGATAGGTCTTGTGCTGTGAATGTTAAAAAGGAGGCTGGTTTTCAGATGATAAATCAGCTTTGCCTTCCCCCAAATCCTTGGGTTCCATCCAGTCTTCCCTAGAATAGTTGGAAGGCTGGGAACCCACCTCCAAGCATCACAGAGAACTAGATGTAGGTAGGACATCATGCCCTTAAAAGCAGTGTTGAAATGAGTCTTGCATTCTAGTTACTCGTTCCTTTTTTTCCTTTAAGTTTGGTCCGTCTCCAAACTTGGTCTTCTCCAAGCGTGTTGGATTTCCGTTCTGGTCAGGAGGGGTCCTGGGTGAGCTGGGTGGTTTTCTGGCAGACCTTTCATGACCCAACTAGGGAACATCATCAGAGCTAGAAGGGAGTGGGGTTTGTGGAGAGGAGGAGGAGGAGGAGGAGGAGGAAGAAGAAGAAGAAGAAGAAGAAGAAGAAGAAGAAGAAGAAGAAGAAGAAGAAGAAGAAGAAGAAGAAGAAGAAGAAGAAGAAGAAGAAGACAGGAGGATGTGGAGGAGGAGGAGGAGGAGGAGAAGAATAATGGTGGTTTCCTTGCAGACGTTTCATTACCCAAACTAGGTAACCTCATCAGTGGGGTTTGCTTTCAGTTCATATTGGGGGCAGAGTTAAAAGGGGGATCAGCCTAGAATCCCTATGTAGCCACAAGCAGAACCTCCAAGACCCCACCCATCAACGCTGACAAGGCAAGCTACTAGAGTATAAATTAATAAACCCCACTCCCTTCTAGTTCTGAGGATTTTGGGGGTAATGACACATCTGCAAGAAAATAACCAAGCTCAGACAGCATCAAGGACCTCACAGTCCACCTTTTCCTTTCCTCCTCCTCCTCTCCGCAAACCCCACTCCCTTCTAGCACTGATAACGTTACCTAGTTTGGGTCATGAAAGGTCTGCAAGAAAACCACCAGGCTGAGAGAGCACCAAGGACCCCACACTTCAACCCTGAGCTAGAAATATTATCTTCTAAATGAGGAATTAGCAAGACACGCCTTTTCAGCAGATTGGATTCGCCTGTGTGCGCCTCTGTTAAAAATGGCTCCAGCTCTGCTTTCTTGAACAAGACTTAATTGTTAGTTCATCTGTCATTGTAAGCTGTAAACCACTGTTTACAGACTATGGTAGTCACGTGGAGACATCATCCGAAGCAGGAACCACAAAGAACATCACGAATGGACTCTTCCTACCGGCGCATGTTACGAACTTTGACCTGTGGCAGAGAAGATGATCTGAATAACCATCATCAACAGCTTTCTACCCAAGCCACAAGATCTTTACTCCCAGTTCGTTGCGTTGCAATGGAAAGAGAGAAGATTTTGCAATCCCCTGTAAAATTTCAGATTTCTGCCAAGCCATTTCCCTCTCGAGTGGATGGAGACCCTTGCTCTGAAGATGCGCTGTCAGCCTTGACTCGGTTACCCTTGAAGGAACACCTAGTCATGCTCCAAAAGCAGATTGTTATTTTATTTTTATTTTTTGGGGGTGCTGACGCTGTAGGGTTGTGAAAGACCTGTGTGGGAACCTGTTCTTGCAAAATGAAGGACAGCGTGTTGCTTCACCCTCTTCATTCAGCTTTCATCTGCAACTGTTGTTGACATACACTGTTTACCGGCCTGACGACATCGCTCCGCAGGCTCAAAGCTTTCCCGTTTGCTCTCGTTTAAGCATCAAATGGAGGAGTGGGAGGCTCTTTTATCCTTCAGAAAATATGATTTTATGGGCCCAAAGCAGCCATAGTCAGCGAGGAGAGACGTGAAGATAAAAATCATGGAGCATTGAATTTCTGTCCTCTAAGTAATGGAGGCAGCTGGTTAGACCGAAACTTGGTCTCTCCGTAGGAAAAATAAGAGAATTAGAGAGTTGGAAGGAGCCTAGTCTAATCCCTTCTCAAACAGGAGGTCCTACGCCAGTCTGGGCAAAAGGCTGTCCTGTCTCTTCTTGGAAAACTTCCAG